TATACGGTATAATTAGTGATAAAACCACTCAGATTACCCAACAAAGGTTCCCATTTGGCATTTCTTGTGTCTGGAGTAAATACTTATCATTATAAATTGAGGTCTGATGTGGCAAAAGTATTACATCTTATGTAATACGCGCATGGAAGTGCAGTAAGAGGAATTATCAGCTGAGTTACAAAACAAACATCGATCAAAGAATTAACCGACAACACGCTGATTGATTAATTGCTTTTACCCTGCACAACGGATTTGTCAAAAGGTAGTGTTTATATATGTAGATTCACTCATCTATACTGAATACACCCTGTCGTAAAGTGCCTGTGTAAAAACAACGTCCTTCCTTCAAATGATTAACCGCCAATACATTGACTGATTGCTCATTACTGGCTAACTAAATTATTTTTTTAAAGAATGGCGGACATCATGCAATTAGTTGCCAGGTGTGCTATCTTGGGTGACCAATGGGACTATACACCAATGTGAAAAACCTCAAACAATAACTCACTTTTTCGCATATAAGACTGTTAAAAGATACATGACATGGAACAGGATACTTTGTCAGCTGCAGATGAATGGCATCTCATTCCTTTATGTGGATATTGATGGATACATTCCCCGAACAAGGTAATAGCTTGATATTGTTGCTATAACTTTAGTCTGTTTTAATTTTAATATTTGCATTTTGCTTTTATTTATTTGTTATGACATTCAACAGAATTTTTTTTTGGCCGTGAAGTGTAATAAGACAGACAACATACACTAAGTCGCACTCGGGGCGTGTCTGTGAAATATAATACACGTTGGCAATTTATAAAATGTCTAGATATTACAATCTTGTTACAAATTCACAAAGTATAAGCATTCTATAGTAAACTAATTAGGATTATAAGACAAAATATAAAGACGTACATTGACTTCGTTATCACTCCTAACATTTTTTACCACTGGCAGATGGTTAATAAAACCTGCATTGAGGATCGTAATCCAATGCTTGTTTGATCAGCATTCTTGATTTACTCCCACTTTGCCAGTAGTTAATCCGACTACAGTTAACGAATATCAGATTATAATTAACACCCTAATTAGCAAGGTCATGTCTGGATGGTTATTGCCAGTTTCTGAGGTGTCCTCTCACGCAGCCAGATTCTGTCAAAACAGGTCTCTCACATAGCCAGAGTGGGATCTGGCTGACCAGGGTTAGTGTTTTGATAAAGCATGTCCAGATGAGCCATATAGTCTGTATCAACAAAACGCTCAATTAGTGAGATTTGTGAATTTTGTATTGAGACACATTTGGATGGTATTATTTGAATTTCTTTACATTTGTCATATCATATGTGCTCAGTTTGTAAGATTAGTTAAATTTATATTAAAGTGAGATACATTGATATGGTATTATTTGAATTTCTTTACATTTTACAGAGAATGTAAATAAAAATATGCTTGGTGCAAAAGATGTAGTGTATTAAGAAAATTATGAGAAATGGTTGCTGAAAATGTTAACAAATGATGCTTCTTTGGCTGTAATATTACACACACATGGACACCACATATATGGAGTGCAAGTATCCACTTCTGAATACCAGCCTAATCATTGAGTGCTAGTAACCACTTCTAAATCCTAGTCTATTCACAAAGTCAACAATCGGTTCTAAAGTCATGGTTTTTTTTGCTGCTTGTTAAGAACCAGTTCTTAAGTCAAGCCTATTTATGTATGTTAGCATCCACTTTTTAACAGTGATAAACAGTGCCAATACCACTCAACACGTGTAGGACAAGGTAACATTTTAACTGTTACACTTGCAAATTCCATTCACATATGTATGGACCAATGGATTATAAGTGACACTGGGCGGTGGGACAGCCTTGTGGACACGAAATTGTGCAGAACTATGGATTGAGAAATAACTAAATTTTACATTGTCGTATTAGACTGGGATGCAGCAACTTGGACACTGCATTATCTAATCTTTGAAGGACTGTTGTAATATGTATTAGTTTGGGGAGCGACATTAATATAGGGGAAACACAGTTTGTCAATCTCACTGTACACTACTAGTGGTACAAGAATGAATATTGTTTAAACTATACACACACTTGCATACATCTTCAATCGTGTCGCATTGTAGATATACACTATAGCCCTAGAACAAAGGCTCACGCTTCAGTGGCTAATGCTAATTACCTGGCTGGCATCTCTCACCTAGCCATAGTGCAATGTTGTATTAACAAGACCTTTTTAGGAAGACTCTGGCTAAGTGAGAGTGAACCATTTCTGAGCGTGGTGAGCCATGAACAGTGTTCACCACATGCAAAACAATTTTAATCAATAAGTGTTCACAATTAGTATCTTCAATTATCAATTTCTTATGCTTCTCCCACTTAGTGGGATTGTAAATATTTGCATTTGATTAAAATGACATTACATGATTATAAGTTATATATGTATCATTTATTTATCTGTAACTAAATTTATAAGACTAATCATCTGCTTAAAATGATAAAAATGTTAAAGAAACATTATGTGACTATAAACTATTATGTTATATGTGTATAATTTGTTTATTTTGGATATCTGTAACTTTATATATAGCATAAATCGGATATATTTTTGTAAATTTTGTAAAATGAAATAAATTGGCAAAGTGTTGAATCCCCAACTAATCCCCTTTGTTGCACCATTAACGTTAATTAATTGCTTGACAATGAAACTGGCAAAGTGGGAGGACACCACATTCTTAAAGTACGACTTTACAAATGCCAATTTTTTGTTGATGCATAGATGGGAGTTTCCATATTTATTCCCACACCGTTATCAATATAAAAGTTACTACAACCAGGTGAATAGAAGTATATACTAGTATGCATAATGGCAACCAGCAAATTAACAGATAATTTAGCAAGTAGCACATCGTTGGATGGAGGCAGCAGGGGAGTAAGATCAACAAATTGTAAACAGGCTGATTGGATGCTAATTGAACAGCTGATTGACAGATTCTAGCTGTAAATCAACTTCAGTATGACAAAGTCGAAATCCACTCCACTGTCAAAGTGATGGAATCAATCAACATTCAATCAGCTTGTTTATCCTGAACGATGTACATCGAAATGCCGCCTTATTCAATAAACAGGGAGTTGTTATCACTTAAGTGATATGTTTCGTTATGTATTCCCATACTGTTTACTGCAGTATAAGTGAGATCTGATTCAGTTTGCGAATGACCACACTTTTGAAGATTATTTAAGTTCTACATTAGTAAACTGCATCCTAATAATTTGATTTCAGATTAAAACATCTCATTCCGAATTTGTGTAATCCTATTTCTGGTACTAAGAAATACTGTATTTTTACATATTAGATATAAATCTATCAGTACCAGTTTGATGTGTCTGGTCATGAGTTAACTAACATAATGATTATATATTTATTGTCATTACATGTGTCATTAAGCGTCATTTATGCCATTATAATGTTCTCTGATCCATTTCATCGTACAGCATTTATTTCATTCAATGTTTTGAATCTCACATGATGACATGAGAAATGTTATTGTTCCAGTTCAGTTCGTTCTTCAAGTGTTCCAACCAATATCGTCATTATGGTTACAAACGGCCTGATTTTAATACCTATCAACTTAGATGTTATATATGAGTATATGCACACACATTCACACAAAACATACGTAATTTGTGAATTCTGTTTCAGACGAAAAGAAATATCTAATTTGATAAGAAACACTACATAAAGTATCTTCCCTCACTATGAGAGAAGCATGGCATTATTCGTTAATTTTTAAATAATTTTATCTGCATAAAAGAAGGGATTATAAAAAATCTGAAACAAACTTCCGTATACTACCATTTCACCAACATTGCGACATTGACCATGGAATCATGTTAATTTCAGTCTGATTTTAATGTCATAATTATGCGAGGTTCCTCATTCACACATTCATACAAATTGACAGCTCAACACAAAACAATATGCAACCAACCAAATTCAATACAACACAACTTTCACAGCATGTGCATACCACACTGTTGATTTTGTATATTTGTATACATGCAATATTGTGTATGCATATGATGTTACATGCAATATAAGTAAAATTAAAAATGTCACCATATTTTCAAATAACTCATATTCGTATATTTGCTATTGCTATATGCAATAAACAAAATGTGATAAACTTTACTGTTTACCAACAAGCGCTGCATACTTGCTTTTCTACAACATATAGCTTTAATCCACATTGTTGTAACGATTAGTACGGTCCAGTAATTTCAATCTCAAAACAGTACGTGCAGGCAAATAGAGAACATCCCGAAGCTTGGAACTTGGTTTTCCTTCCAAAGGCCGTCTTTACTGACTTGACTCACTCATGAATTAACAAGGCAGTACGCCTTGTTAATTGGTGAATCTTAACAGCCTTGAATCACTCATCAATTAACAGGGGATTAGGTCTTGGGGCGTGCAAACTACTATCATTTACCATCACCCACCAGTTATCTCCCCTTGTGGACATTTCCAAAATTGGAAATCTCATATTTCCAAAATTGGAAATGTTTGGAAACATCATCTTTCCAAAATTGGAAATGTCTTGGAAACATCATCTTTCCAAGACATTTCCAAGCTTGTAAATGTGGACTTTTTTTCCAGTGAAAGTTGTTGGTTTGGTACCAAATTCTCTCCTGTAAACTGCCCTTTAAATGCATGGGAATGTTAAATCAATTGAAATCATAATTAGGTACACTATAGGTGAGTTGATATATTGACAACATAATACATTTATCACCTTTCTAAAGATATTAAGGCTAAAAAGCATTTTTCTAGCATTTCCGACCGTACTTTAGCCTTCATTCCGCGCTCCGTGCACCACATGTGACATAAGTCGGTCAGCCCACTATTTCAGTCCATATTTTACTTTGGCGCCAACGTATATAAACAAATTTCATGAATAGGAAGCAAAACAATTGAATATCACAACTGAACATACCTCAATGCCACATGCAGCAAGTAGGAGTCGCACGCCTTCAGCTAGTCCACGGCCATCAAAGTATGTCAGCCTTACTGTCGCCATATTGCCTAACTGTTGACCCGATCAGCTCCCTAGACTAACGCCCAGTCTCTTGGAGCATGACAGAAACAAGACAACTTAAATAACTCAAACATTTCATTTTAGCTGAATTGAAAAGGAATTCGTTTAAGATGGGAGATTCAGACTTGATTCATTTAGGGCTATAGCTGAGTCATCACACAGTGGGTAGATAATACGGCTAGGAGACTGTGCGAAAGACCATCAGCTGCCGGGTCAAAAGCCAAGAAGGCTATATGAGCTTTCTGACGAGTTGGCCTTATCGCATTACAGACCTTACAAAAGCAAGCAAAAAGTGCCAAAATTCAACAAAGCGTTAACACCATATCTCCGCCAGTTGCTACGGAAGCCTAGTGGTGCCACACTGGTATCGTATTTTGAAAATAAAATATTCTCGTTATTTCAAGTATCTGTCTATTGTTAACGAAATTTGTTAGTTCAGTTATATTTTCGTAATTTCTCGCTAGTTGTTTGTTTCAAGAACTCGTAATTTAGAGAAATCAAAATTAGGAGACAATTATTGAAATAACGAGACAGTACTATCGGGACAGCATACTTTCATCACTTGTTGTTCTGTTTGCATGCTGTGAGTGTCGATGTTTTAGGACGCCAATGCTCACCTCCAGCATCACAACACCCCAGAATGTCTAGCAATTAGTCTTGATCTTTCCCAACTTTAACACTTGTGGGACAAACTTACTCACATGACATTTCAGGGACTCATACGGAGTGAACAAATCTTTGACAAATTGTTGAGGTGGTTTGACTGTACAATTGATAAAGAATCGCTCGACCGGCCTGTGGTACAGTCCAACCAGATTACGATGCCTCTCTCGCTCGCAAGCTAGTAATGTGAAATGGAACAAGTGATACTCGAATCACGCTCAATATGTGAAGAAGAGGAAAGCAATTGACATCTTCTGTTCCAACAGTCATCAATGTTATTATTACCTGATTGATATCAGTGTTTAATTCCAATCTCATTCCGTGAAAAACTGTGAAATAATAACTAGACCGAAGTGATGGGAACATTTAATGCAACAAATGTAATTACACGTTCTTATTCACTGCCAACACGCGGTGGCTCAGAGAAATAAGACAAAACTCCCCACGTTATGGGTGAATAAATGCGTAGTGATTTAGTACAAATGCAGGTAGTCATCATGCGGTGACATACAAACAATACATTGTAACCCTTGTAGGGTGCAAAGGGCATAAGTAACAATGCAATTCTGTGCTGAAATGTAAGCATAGATTAATGAATCTATATCAAGAACACCGAAACCAATAATACTACTGGGAGGGTGGGTGGGATCAAGCATGCCGCCATTTCAACCGCTAGGACGACAAGAATTAGGTCAAGGGAGATAACTCTTATTAACATGAAGAGCGGTAACTGAAGGCCGTTGGCTTGCCGCTAAAATAAGGAACTAACATAATTCAAAACTATTTTAATAATAAAATATTACTGATAGACGTCTATTCTCATAATGATGCACATACTAATTTCATTGTGGGATTGTATTTAACAAGTGTCCAGTTTTTAATTCGGTTGAGTATACATTGAGTTCATGATATGTATGAGCAGTCTTGCTAATAAAGCTGATGTCAAATATATATTTTTTCTATATCTGCCATGGCAGCCGTTTTAAACTGATCAAAAAACATTTGTCGGCATTTTACGGAGACTGCAAATGTATGGACGAACGGTAAACCTTCCTGTGACCATTCATGGTGTGGTTTGTAATCTGATGTTGACCATACGTTGACCAACTTAATTGTAAATATGTAAGAATTTTTAGAGTATCCTATGTTCAATCCCACTTAGATTTTTCTTCATTGGAGTGCCCATATAATCCTCCCTTCCTGGCCACGTATCTCACAATGGCGGGAGTTTGCACCAGCTCCAGCCCATCAATCTCCAACAGGGGCACCTGATGAAACATTAGTTTACTACTGGGAGGGTGGGTGGGATCAAGCATGCCGCCATTTCAACCGCTAGGACGACAAGAATTAGGTCAAGGGAGATAACTCTTATTAACACGAAGAGCGGTAACTGAAGGCCGTTGGCTTGCCGCTAAAATAAGGAACTAACATCATTAAAAACTATTTTAATAATAAAATATTACTTTAATTCCAATCTCATTCCGTGAAAAACTGTGAAATAATAACTAGACCGAAGTGATGGGAATATTTAATGCAACAAGTGTAATTACACGTTCTTATTCCCTGCCAACATGCGGTGGCTCAGAGAAATAAGAAAAAAACTCCCAGCCCAGAAGAGATTGGACTAAAGTAATAAACATGAAGTGAAGTAGATACAAAGACATCAAAAAAACCTTCTCAATAAGTATCTAACAACTGGGGAGAGATGTTCCAAACTTTTGTAAAGCTTCTAATTTTGTTACTGATTGAATGTTAATGTATCTCAAGTAAGCTGGGCTTTTCCAAAAGCCTATGTCTTGAATTATCTCTCCCGGCATCTCCTGCTTGAATGCCCAGCTTGCTCCACCCCCTTCGAAATGAATGTCCAGTGATTCGCATCGAAGGGTCGGTCTCGTGCAGTATGTGATTAACAGTCTCTAAAAACACACTCTCTTTCAATGCCTCACGTTGATTGTTACACAACAAAGGTCCCGCTCCATCATCAAGACCATGTAGCTGTAGGAGGTTTACCATAGCTGACACCGGGTCTAATGGATGGGATTCAATCGCCGGCAGTATTACCTGCAGACGCTTCTCACGAAATTGTAATGTCTTAGACCAGCGTAGAGTCACGCACATACCCCCCCTCTATTGTTGATACATCACACAGTCTTATGTCTCTATCCACACTAATAATAATAATAATAATTGATTTATAGAGCGCCTATTTCCAAAAGATATTGCTCAATGGCGCTATGAAGAGAAAAGATTGTAGACAATGTCTATGGAAAAGAGAGTTTGAACAGATGAGTTTTGAGGGCAGTTTTGAAAGCATCAGCAGATTCTATTTCTTTTAGGGTGACTGGTAGAATGTTCCAGAGATAGGGGGCTGCAGCAGAGAACGCTCTTGATCCCATGGCTGTTTTGACATGAGGCTGTGTAAGCAGTAAGGAGTTTGATGAGCGGAGTAATCGGCTTGGAACATGGAGATGAATGAGGCTTTTAAGATATTGAGAAAACATGTTTTCATAGATGCAGCTGTGTGTAAGAAGAAGAAGTTTGTATTGAATTCTGCTTGATACAGGAAGCCAGTGAAGAGTTTGGAGGATAGGTGTCACAGTTTGGTAGCGTGGTGCACGGGCAACAACACGGGCGGCTGAATGCTGAATCCGTTGGAGTTGTGAAAGGAGCTGTTGAGGAATGTTGTAATAGAGGGAGTTGCAGTAATCAAGTTTAGAGAGAACAAGGCTGGACGTTAGAAGCTGCGCGGTGTTGAAGTCTAAGAGGGTTCGGATCTTGCTAATATTGAAGATATGGTAGAAACATCCTTTGCTGAGTGATTTGATTTGATTTTCTAATGACATTGTTGATTGAAAGATGACACCAAGATTTTTTGCAGAGTCGGACTGCGTGATAACATCTTGTCCAATTTCAAGAGATAAACTGTCAGGCACTTTGGAAAGTTGATGCCTGGATCCGATGGTTAAGAACTCAGTCTTTGTGTCATTCAATTTCAGAAAGTTCAAGGTCATCCAGTCTCTTATTTCAGCAATACACTAAACACAGTTCTGCATAAGAAATTGCCCGGTCAGAGCATACCGTAAAATCCCAGCAGGCAACCCATGAATATTGATGCCCCAAGCAGAGTGTCCAGTTTCAATCTTGAACGGACTGAGAGCAGCATCTCTGGTGTCACGGGTACAGCCCCTGCTTGTGAATCTCCTAGTTCACGTCTGGCGCCTCGCAAGGCTTGTCTAATTTGCCAACTATCTTTGACGGGGTCATTGTAGCCATGCCAGAGATGAACATTTGTCACTATACACAAATATTGGCGAACACTTGCATATTTGAAACATTTCACATCAACAAGATACACAATATACTGCAACAAATGAGCTTCCAAAACGGGAACTGGTTCTATCTGTAGTAATCTACAGAAGTCTAGAAAACACTTGAGTTGACTGGAGTACGTTTTTGACGTTGTCTGTGCCTATCCGTTCATAAGTAGTCTATTAGCCGACGCCTTCAGCATGGTCTGCAGACTTTCCCCACCTAGAAGTGAGGAATTTACTTGACATGTGACACAACAATAAGTCCCTGGAAATATACATCATCTGCATACTTGGTATTAATTTAAATAATTCAGATAGTCTACCGTTTGTAGTCAAACGGGAAATACAGTCAACTAGCACATTTTGTGAGCCTGGTAGGTACTGAGCTTGAAGAGAAAAATTATACGTAGCTTGCAACCACACAAGATATCTCAAGTAACTCATCATAAATGGAGATCTAGATGTTTTCTTATTAATAATAGACTTGGCTGTGATATTGTCTGTTTTCACCACAATCTTCTTATTCTGCCATGCTGATGACCACCTTTGAGCAGACAAAATAATTATCATGGCCTCTTTTACATTAATATGTTCTGATTCCATAACAGGCATGTCAAGTCTCCAATTTACATAGAAGAAATCTCCATTATAATATGCACCACCTCCGGTCATGCATGCATCTGTTTGTAAAGTATTGATAGGCCTTGGGTCAAGGAACTTCTGTTTTCCATTGAAAGTTTTGAAGAACTGTGACCACCACCAAATGTCTGCCATAAAATCACTGTCTAAGTTAACTTTGTCATTGGAGTCTCGAAGTAGATTCTTTAGATTCAGAATTCTACGAAGAAATGTTCGTCCACCTTGAACAACCATTGCTGCCCAACTCATTTTCCCTACCAATTTCTCCAGCTGTTTCTTGCTGGCCCGCTTGGGCTCTTTGTAACTCTGCAACACTTCGGTTAAATCACACACCTTCTCGTCTGGTAATCTCAACACACACTGCACTGTATCAATTTCAACTCCAAGGAAAGTGAGTCTCTTGGTTGGCCCTTCTACCTTATTCCAATTGATATTGAAACCTAACCGACGTAATAGTTGCACAAGTAATGTTAGTGCTTGTACACAAGTATTCATGTCATCACACACTATCAGAAAATCATCCAAGTAAGCGATGGCATCCAATCCATACCGGTTTTTCATGATTCTACACACAGCTGCTGTTAATGACTGAAAGATCTTGGGACTTTTAGAGGCTCCAAAGGGTAATTTTGCATCATAGAAATAAGTAAGTTCTGTGTCCCCCTTAAACCGCCAGGCCAAACCAGTGTATTGATAATTAGAAGGATGAATTCTAACTGACCTGTAAACACTTTTCAAGTCAAGTTTTGCAATATAACTCCCTTCCTTGATTAATTTGGTTGCGTGTCGAAGGTCCATATAATCACAGTCACATGAAGTCATGAAGCTGCTCATTCCTTTACCAGCCGGCAAACTGCCGTCATGAATTAATCTCACTTTTCCATTGGATTTTGGGATTGCACCAATGGCACTTACAATTTTTGGTTTAGATGATACTTTAACATAATTCCCTAAACTCATTTCTTCTAAAATTTGTTGTTCAACCAACAACTTGCTTTCCATTGCTGATCTATGATCTTAGAAATACAATGTTCAGTCTCACCACTCACATCATCATCATCAATAAGTTTAAAACCATTTGCAACCCCATCAAGTATATAGTCTCTATCTGGATCTGTGAATGGTAGCAGCTCCTCCCAAGCAGCAAAATTTAATGAGTTGAATTCCCTTGTGACATCGACTGGCCGTTTTTTGGATATAAACGGTCTTCTCTAGGTGATCCACGAAAGGATCCCTGGTCAGCAGTAAGGTCATGGTCTAACTTGCTGTGCCTTCCAAAACAAACACTACAGACATGCCTCAGTTTGCACAGTTCATCTCGACAAAATGTGAAATTGTACCGCCTAGCTACATATTTCTTGACCATTAGGTGTGAAAGGTCCGCGTGGTCTATACGGACGTCTGTTGTTGCGTGATTGCTCATTCTGCCTCAACAGTTCTTTAGTTGTACCATCGGATTTTTGGACCAATTGATGGTCCCGGATGTCTTGTGATGGCGTTCCCCAACGAAACCCTTCCTTGGCTTGGAGCATACGATATTCCTTATCGTATAGCACAACACTTTGCCAAATATACTTGGATGAGTACCTAGCAATGTCCTGCATATACTTGAGATAACTATCAACATCATCATTGTCGAATGCACCTTTCTGGACCTGGTCACGCAATAATCCTAAATTTGCATACATCCACATGTCCAATGATATCTTAGATAGGTTTGTAGATTTTTTTCCTACATCGATGCTAACACCTCCCCCTAGATCGACTGTTTGTCTTGCCGTATCCAGTGAATTGACCCATAGAAAATTTGTGTAGTCTAAATGTTTGTTATTACCATTGGCGCCGCTATCTTGACGTCTTTGACCTTCACTTTGGTTGACCTCTCTGTTCACGTGATCGTCCTGTTCACAAGTCAGTTTCACCTTTAATCTGTCAATTTCTCTTCTGAGTTCGGCTTTCTTGTCTTCTAACCTGAGTTGATGTAACTCTTCACTTAATCGTCTATATTCAGAATCAAAGTCATTTTTCTCAACGCCAGCAGGAGCTGTCATGGCGTCTGTCGACAAGGACACAGGGGACACTCGTGTAAGGCTTGATCTTCCTTGTTTCTGCGATACTGGACTTTTCAAAGCTTCCATCACGTCTTGCATCCGGTTACCAGCGGTCTTGCGCTTGGGTTTTACCTCCTGTATACTTTCTGCCATTATGTTTTTCTTTACCAATTGACTGATTTTTCGTCACGATAGATCAAGCATGCCGCCATTTCAACCGCTAGGACGACAAGAATTAGGTCAAGGGAGATAACTCTAAATAACATGAAGAGCGGTAACTTAAGGCTGTTGGCTTGCCGCTAAAATAAGGAACTAACATAATTCAAAACTATTTTAATAATAAAATATTACTGATAGACGTCTATTCTCATAATGATGCACATACTAATTTCATTGTGGGATTGTATTTAACAAGTGTCCAGTTTTTAATTCGGTTGAGTATACATTGAGTTCATGATATGTATGAGCAGTCTTGCTAATAAAGCTGATGTCAAATATATATTTTTTCTATATCTGCCATGGCAGCCGTTTTAAACTGATCAAAAAACATTTGTCGGCATTTTACGGAGACTGCAAATGTATGGACGAACGGTAAACCTTCCTGTGACCATTCATGGTGTGGTTTGTAATCTGATGTTGACCATACGTTGACCAACATAATTGTAAATATGTAAGAATTTTTAGAGTATCCTATGTTCAATCCCACTTAGATTTTTCTTCATTGGAGTGCCCATATAATCCTCCCTTCCTGGCCACGTATCTCACAATGGCGGGAGTTTGCACCAGCTCCAGCCCATCAATCTCCAACAGGGGCACCTGATGAAACATTAGTTTCCCATCTGTAACAAACATACATTCAGCATATATTTAGATTATCTCTATTTGTAAAACATGGAATGGACCTAAGAAATAACTTGTTGAATGGGATTTCAGATTTACCTTACTCTAAAACGTCCTCCTGATTACCACCAATTGTTAAATGACTGTTATATTTTATCATTTCCACTGTATCTACTAATCGGTATATTCTCAACCAGTGTATTTATGTAAACGTGTATGTGGGCTGATGGCCTTTGATACAATAAAACACCTTTGACTTGACTTGACTTGACATAGAGCTATCACCTGTTTATATGCAAGTATAATGCAGGATTTTAATTTACTTTACCTTGACTGTATATATTATAGTGTGGTTGGACTGTATGTCGTGGTTGGGTGGTTGCATGGTGTAGGAATCAGTGAAAAAGCATGCAAGGTGATGTAAGGTCAAACGCATGGGAAATGTGACAATATAAGGTGCATGTAGGTTATTCTTAGTAATGCTGTAAACATTCTGAGTATATAATCGTATAATTGATAAGGTGAGGTGAGGTGAAATTGGGTTTAACATCGTGCTTGAGAATATTTCGCTCATATGACGACATGCATGCGTGTGTATGTGTATGTGCGGCTGCTTGTACTAGCCCAGACTAAAGCTGGTTTTATAGTGGTAGCCCACTGAGATACCATGCCGTAATGAAGCATGAATACCCAACTCAGACACATTATACTAACTCCGAGCCGACCAGTCCTTGTTGTACCCATTAATGCCGAGCGCCAGGCAGGGACCAACAAGTACCATATTTTAACGTCTTTTGGTACGACGCGGCCGGGGATCGAACCCTTCCGCTCTCCGGGCGGACGCTCTAACCACTACACCACGGACGCGGTCATATAATTGATAAGCACACCCTATACTGACATTGTAAATTGTTACACTCGCACCTTCTGGGCGCGTCGCTCAATCACTGCTATTGAGTATGGGTTTCGTCGATGAATTTGGATGATGAACGTTGGTCAGACGAATGATGGAATATATTTTAAGTATCAACATTTTCACCACTATATATTTTGCAAAGTTACTTATTTCTGGGAGAATAAACATGATTACCTTCCAGTAACTTTTCATATTCTTGCCTCTCTTGGAGCAATGTTTCGGTGAACTGAAAAAGACCTTGAGTTAATTGTAACCTCAAATTGCCTTCAAAATGTATACTGAACAGCAAAAGAAACGCAAGTCTGACTTTTTGTCAAGTTTTTAAATAGAAGACAACCAAAATATTTTGTCTTATCACATATTCTATAAACAACACTATCAATTTAACAGCTGGAAATTGCTGTTGACATTGAATTGCAAGAAGTTCAAATTGATCACAGTCCGTCCAATGGAGATATCCCTGAACGCGAAAAGTGACAGTCTCTTTAGTAGCGCTTATAGCCACCTTGAGCTTGCACACGGGCCGTGCAACGTTGCCTCATTGAGTTCACTATGAAAGTCTGAAAGAAGGCCTGAGGCAAGTGGTTCCACTCAAACACAAGTCTCTGTTCAAACTGTGCAAGTGTGACTGGCTGTCTACCTGCAGCAATCCCACGTCCAATTTCGTCCCAGAATGTTCAATGGGAGCCATATCCGGGGAATGAGACAGCCATGGAAGAATGTTAATGTTGTTCTGAGCCAGATAATCCATCGACACCCTTGCCGTGTGAGGGCTGTAAACGTCGCTGACGTTGTTGACGTGTCAAAATTGGCCCCACATATGGCCGTCGGCAGTGGATTCCAGCAGCTCGAAGACGGCACCTAATCGTATCACTGGACACTCCCCTTGACCCATGAACTAAGGCTGATGATACTGTTGCTGCTTGAGTTCGGTTCCTTAGATGAGTGACCCGGATGAACCAACCTTGCGCATGAGTTGTCATTCGTGTCCGTCCTGTACGGGGACGATCAGCAGCAACCCCGGTTTGCTGATGACGTTGAGCAAGTCGTGTAAGGGTGGTAAGATGACAGCCCAACTGTCTAGCTACAGCGGTTGCAGAGCTACCTCCATGCAACTTTCCAATGGCCATTCCCCTCTCCTCTGCCGTTACTCTAGGCATCGTTTCTGTCGCGTGTACACCTCCTAGCGTCAATACTGAACTGTTTTTGACGCAAACCTTTATAAAGGAGACATCAGAGTGAAATGCATGATTCCATCCAGAACCGTCGATGAACGTGCCAAAATTATGGTTTTTCTGCACCGTGGGTGTGTTTGTACGAATGTTTCACATGAACGTCAAATTGCATGACATCATATCATCTGGAATCATTACGTCACTTTACCATGAACTATCCATCAACATGAACGCTTACTTTTATGAGATTCATTTTTTTCGAAATTTGCGTTTGTACGCTCAGCATGGGTTGCTGGAAATTCTAACAGGGCAGATGCAGCTTAAAAGGAACGTTTCAGTTGAATACTTACAGCAAAGACAACACATAGTTTTCGACTCCCCATGGGTACAACGTTTGAAGCCAATATCTGGTGTCCCCCGACGTGATCTTGCTGGAATATTTCTAAACTCACTAACTCTCTCCATTAAAATATATTCGGGGTCTTATAATATAGTTAAGATGGCACTGCTGATGTGCATTGTTGCAGTTGGTTATTAATGTTTGCAACGACGTCGTGCGTGGACCGGCTAGCCTTCATTCAGAATACTGCATATGCAACGCGCTCCGTGCACCACATCTGATTGAAGTAGGTCAGTCTTCCCCTCTACAGCTGATACATTATATTTCCACCCGATCGGAGGATGCCTTCACTATTTCAGTCCATATTGTCCTTTGGCTCCAACGTATATAAACAAATTTCATGAATAGGAAGCAAAACAATTGACTATCACAACTGAACGTACCTCATTGCCACATGCAGCAAGTAGGAGTCGCACGCCTTCAGCTAGTCCACGGCCATCAAAGTATGTCAGCCTTACTGTCGCCATATTGCATAACTGTTGACGCAATCAGCTCCCTAGACTAACGCCCAGTCTCTTGGAGCATGACATAGAAACAAAACAACTTAAATAACTCAAGCATTTCATTTTAGCTGAATTGAAAAGGAATTCGTTTAAGATGGGAGATTCAGACTTGATTCATTTAGGGCTATAGCTGAGTCATCACACAGTGGGTAGATAATACGGCTAGGAGACTGTGCGAAAGACCATCAGCTGCCGGGTCAAAAGCCAAGAAGGCTATATGAGCTTTCTGACGAGTTCGCCTTATCGCATTACAGACCTTACAAAAGCAAGCAAAAAGTGCCAAAATTCAACAAAGCGTTAACACCATATCTCCGCCAGTTGCTACGGAAGCCTAGTGGTGCCACACTGGTATCATATTTTGAAAATAAAATATTCTCGTTATTTCAAGTATCTGTCTATTATGACCGAAATTTGTTAGTTCAGTTATATTTTCGTAATTTCTCGCTAGTTGTGTTTGTTTCAAGAACTCGTAATTTAGAGAAATCAAAATTAGGAGACAATTATTGAAATAACGAGACAGTACTATCGGGACAGCATACTTTCATCATTTGTTCTGTTTGCATGCTGTGAGTGTCGATGTTTTAGGACGCCAATGCTCACCTCCAGCATCACAACACCCCAGAATGTCTAGCAATTAGTCTTGATCTTTCCCAACTTTAACACTTGTGGGACAAACTTACTCACATGACATTTCAGGGACTCATACGGAGTGAACAAATCTTTGACAAATTGTTGAGGTGGTTTGACTGTACAATTGATAAAGAATCGCTCGACCGGCCTGTGGTACAGTCCAACCGGATTACGATGCCTCTCTCGCTCGCAAGCTAGTAATGTGACATGGAACAAGTGATACTCGAATCACGCTCAATATGTGAAGAAGAGGAAAGCAATTGACATCTTCTGTTCCAACAGTCATCAATGTTATTATTACCTGATTGATAACAGTGTGATAGACGTCTATTCTCATAATGATGCACATACTAATTTCATTGTGGGATTGTATTTAACAAGTGTCCAGTTTTTTAATTCGGTTGAGTATACATTGAGTTCATGATATGTATGAGCAGTCTTGCTAATTAAGCTGATGTCAAAACCGGATATATATTTTTTCTATATCTGCCATGGCAGCCGTTTTAAACTGATCAAAAAAACATTTGTCGGCATTTTACGGAGACTGCAAATGTATGGACGAACGGTAAACCTTCCTGTGACCATTCATGGTGTGGTTTGTAATCTGATGTTGACCATACGTTGACCAACATAATTGTAAATATGTAAGGAATTTTTAGAGTATCCTATGTTCAATCCCACTTAGATTTTTCTTCATTGGAGTGCCCATATAATCCTCCCTTCCTGGCCACGTATCTCACAATGGCGGGAGTTTGCACCAGCTCCAGCCCATCAATCTCCAACAGGGGCACCTGATGAAACATTAGTTTCCCATCTGTAACAAACATACATTCAGCATATATTTAGATTATCTCTATTTGTAAAACATGGAATGGACCTAAGAAATAACTTGTTGAATGGGATTTCAGATTTACCTTACTCTAAAACGTCCTCCTGATTACCACCAATTGTTAAATGACTGTTATATTTTTATCATTTCCACTGTATCTACTAATCGGTATATTCTCAACCAGTGTATTTATGTAAACGTGTATGTGGGCTGATGGCCTTTGATACAATAAAACACCTTTGACTTGACTTGACTTGACATAGAGCTATCACCTGTTTATATGCAAGTATAATGCAGGATTTTAATTTACTTTACCTTGACTGTATATATTATAGTGTGGTTGGACTGTATGTCGTGGTTGGGTGGTTGCATGGTGTAGGAATCAGTGAAAAAGCATGCAAGGTGATGAACGGTTCAAACGCATGGGAAATGTGACAATATAAGGTGCATGTAGGTTATTCTTAGTGAATTGTACTGACTGACTGAGTTTAGTTTTACGCCGCTTTTAGCAATATTTCAGCAATATCACGGCGGGGGACACCAGAAATGGGCTTAACACATTGTGCCCATGTGGGGAATCGAACCCGGGTTTTCGGCGTGACGATCCAACGCTTTAACCACTAGGCTACCCCACCGCCCCTAGTGAATTGTAATGCTGTAAACATTCTGAGTATATAATCGAATAATTGATAAGGTGGGGTGTTGTGAAATTGGGTTTAACATCGTGCTTGAGAATATTTCGCTCATATGACGACGTGCATGCGTGTGTATGTGTATGTGCGGCTGCTTGTACTAGCCCAGGCTTAAGCTGATTTTATAGTGGTAGCCCACTGAGATACCATGCCGCAGTGAAGCATGAATACCCAACTCAGACACATTATACTGACTCCGAGCCGACCAGTAATTGTACCCATTAATGCCGAGCGCCAGGCAGGGACCAACAAGTACCATATTTTAACGTCTTTTGGTACGACGCGGCCGGGGATCGAACCCTTCCGCTCTCCGGGCGGACGCTCTAACCACTACACCACGGACGCGGTCATATAATTGATAAGCACACCCTATACTGACATTGTAAATTGTTACACTCGCACCTTCTGGGCGCGTCGCTCAATCACTGCTATTGAGTATGGGTTTCGTCGATGAATTTGGATGATGAACGTTGGTCAGTCGAATGATGGAATATATTTTAAGTATCAACATTTTCACCACTATATATTTTGCAAAGTTACTTATTTCTGGGAGAATAAACATGATTACCTTCCAGTAACTTTTCATATTCTTGCCTCTTGGAGCAATGTTTCGGTGAACTGAAAAAGACCTTGAGTTAATTGTAACCTCAAATTGCCTTCAAAATGTATACTGAACAGCAAAAGAAACGCAAGTCTGACTTTTTGTCAAGTTTTTAAATAGAAGACAACCAAAATATTTTGTCTTATCACATATTCTATAAATAACACTATCAATTTAACAGCTGGAAATTGCTGTTGACATTGAATTGCAAGAAGTTCAAATTGATCACAGTCCGTCCAATGGAGATATCCCTGAACGCGAAAAGTGACAGTCTCTTTAGTAGCGCTTATAGCCACCTTGAGCTTGCACACGGGCCGTGCAACGTTGCCTCATTGAGTTCACTATGAAAGTCTGAAAGAAGGCCTGAGGCAAGTGGTTCCACTCAAACACAAGTCTCTGTTCAAACTGTGCAAGTGTGACTGGCTGTCTACCTGCAGCAATCCCACGTCCAATTTCGTCCCAGAATGTTCAATGGGAGCCATATCCGGGGAATGAGACAGCCATGGAAGAATGTTAATGTTGTTCTGAGCCAGATAATCCATCGACACCCTTGCCGTGTGAGGGCTGTAAACGTCGCTGACGTTGTTGACGTGTCAAAATTGGCCCCACATATGGCCGTCGGCAGTGGATTCCAGCAGCTCGAAGACGGCACCTAATCGTATCACTGGACACTCCCCTTGACCCATGAACTAAGGCTGATGATACTGTTGCTGCTTGAGTTCGGTTCCTTAGATGAGTGACCCGGATGAACCAACCTTGCGCATGAGTTGTCACTCGTGTCCGTCCTGTACGGGGACGATCAGCAGCAACCCCGGTTTGCTGATGACGTTGAGCAAGTCGTGTAAGGGTGGTAAGATGACAGCCCAACTGTCTAGCTACAGCGGTTGCAGAGCTACCTCCATGCAACATTCCAATGGCCATTCCCCTCTCCTCTGCCGTTACTCTAGGCATCGTTTCTGTCGCGTGTACACCTCCTAGCGTCAATACTGAACTGTTTTTGACGCAAACCTTTATAAAGGAGACATCAGAGTGAAATGCATGATTCCATCCAGAACCGTCGATGTACGTGCCAAAATTATGGTTTTTCTGCACCGTGGGTGTGTTTGTACGAATGTTTCATATGAACGTCAAATTGCATGACATCATATCATCTGGAATCATTACGTCAATTTACCATGAACTATCCATCAACATGAACGCTTACTTTTATGAGATTCATATTTTTCGAAATTTGCGTTTGTACGCTCAGCATGGGTTGCTGGAAATTCTAACAGGGCAGATGCAGCTTAAAAGGAACGTTTCAGTTGAATACTTACTGCAAAAACAACACATAGTTTTCGACTCCCCATGGGTACAACGTTTGAAGCCAATATCTGGTGTCCCCCGACGTGATCTTGCTGGAATATTTCTAAACTCACTAACTCTCTCCATTAAAATATATTCGGGGTCTTATAATGTAGTTAAGACGGCACTGCTCATGTGCAATGTTGCAGTTGGTTATTAATGTTTGCAACGACGTCGTGCGTGGACCGGCTAGCCTTCATTCAGAATACTGCATATGCAACGCGCTCCGTGCACCACATCTGATTGAAGTAGGTCAGTCTTCCCCTCTACAGCTGATACATTATATTTCCACCCGATCGGAGGATGCCTTCACTATTTCAGTCCATATTGTCCTTTGGCTCCAACGTATATAAACAAATTTCATGAATAGAAAGCAAAACAATTGAATATCACAACTGAACGTACCTCATTGCCACATGCAGCAAGTAGGAGTCGCACGCCTTCAGCTCGTCCACGGCCATCAAAGTATGTCAGCCTTACTGTCGCCATATTGCATAACTGTTGACGCAATCAGCTCCCTAGACTAACGCCCAGTCTCTTGGAGCATGACATAGAAACAAAACAACTTAAATAACTCAAGCATTTCATTTTAGCTGAATTGAAAAGGAATTCGTTTAAGATGGGAGATTCAGACTTGATTCATTTAGGGCTATAGCTGAGTCATCACACAGTGGGCAGATAATACGGCTAGGAGACTATGCGAAAGACCATCAGCTGCCGGGTCAAAAGCCAAGAAGGCTATATGAGCTTTCTGACGAGTTCGCCTTATCGCATTACAGACCTTACAAAAGCAAGCAAAAAGTGCCAAAATTCAACAAAGCGTTAACACCATATCTCCGCCAGTTGCTACGGAAGCCTAGTGGTGCCACACTGGTATCATATTTTGAAAATAAAATATTCTCGTTATTTCAAGTATCTGTCTATTATGACCGAAATTTGTTAGTTCAGTTATATTTTCGTAATTTCTCGCTAGTTGTGTTTGTTTCAAGAACTCGTAATTTAGAGAAATCAAAATTAGGAGACAATTATTGAAATAACGAGACAGTACTATCGGGACAGCATACTTTCATCATTTGTTCTGTTTGCATGCTGTGAGTGTCGATGTTTTAGGACGCCAATGCTCACCTCCAGCATCACAACACCCCAGAATGTCTAGCAATTAGTCTTGATCTTTCCCAACTTTAACACTTGTGGGACAAACTTACTCACATGCGTTTCAGGGACTTATAGGGAGTGAACAAATCTTTGACAAATCGTTGAGGTGGTTTGACTGTACAATTGATAAAGAATCGCTCGACCGGCCTGTGGTACAGTCCAACCGGATTACGATGCCTCTCTCGCTCGCAAGCTAGTAATGTGATATGGAACAAGTGATACTCGAATCACGCTCAATATGTGAAGAAGAGGAAAGCAAAATTACAACATAAAAGTGACTATGACTTCAAATGGATGATTCTGCACTTTGGACATTAAAAGAAAGGCATTTAATTCACTGTGTAAGAAATTATTGAATACTGAGAACACTATTGACCGCCTTCAATATACAATCAGATACTGTTGAAAAGGGTTATATTGACTTGTTAACTGTATGTGAATATATTTTGAATGACGGAGGACATTATTCTTCTCTTGTGTCGACAAATACAGTACCAGAAGAGCTTGTAGATTTCTTGACCAAATTAGACCGTAACACTGAATGTTTTAAACATTTTCAATATGACATTTTTGCATGGTTGCAAGAAAGAAAACCAGATAGATGGCAAAAGGCACAGATTGAAGTGCATCAATTTCTCGTTAGTTTAGTTTGTATCAGGAACTCGAAATTTCGAGGAAGAAATGAAAGTTAGGGGAACATAACTGAAATAAGGAGACTATACTTTCACAGATCATTATCAAGATGAAGATAATTTTTTTGTACTTAGGCCTCCGGACCGTATATATAGTATTATAATGACATGAAAAGTATGGACTGTGCAAATAGTGAAAAGCATCATAACATTGTGAAATTAGTTGCCAGAAGAATTCAGACTCTTCCTTAATGTCAACGAATGTATTTAAAATAGGGCTAATTTTACATGAAACGATTCTTTTTCTGATGATAAAAATCTGATAAGTGTTCCCTTGTAGGGTGACACAAATATTTCTGTGGAATATACTCCCTCCTAAGATCGACATATGTATCACATGTAAATAGGACAGCATACTGACATCATTTGTTGTCCCAGTTGCATTCCCCGAGTGGCGATGTTTGGTCCCTAGAATCCCTAGAATGCCATGGCTAGCGAGGAGTCTTGACCTTTACCAACTTGATCCCTATCGTCCTTGAATACAGTTGACGGTCAACAGATTTACTGCCATACATCATTACCGTTTATTTATTATACCTTCTGAATATTTGGCGAAAGCAGGCGACAGCAGGCGACAGGTTTCTTTGCAAGTGTCAACACGACTGATCCAAAAATCTTCCCGATGGAGAGGCGGATTTCAGGTAAAATATTATCGTGTACCACACATATCTTTTTTTTTGGTGCAAAAAGCACCTCGCCCAAACAATCTTTAGTCTTAATAATGGACACCACCGAAAAAACGAAGGGTCTAATAATAGCTGATTTCGCACGACTTGATAACATGGCGTCCAGAGCATACCATTCTCCCTCTTATTGCCTTGATGTGGAGACGTGTTTTGAATTTAAGAGAACCCTTTTGGTTTTGGGGTTTTTTAGTCTGTATCATTAAACACAAAAAGATAGGTCACTATGTATAATAAATTAAGTCCTATTTGACGTGGAAAGCAGGACCTTCACTCCATATGTTGCGACTGTCGTTGCCAGTGTAATGTGAAAGTTAATGTCTCTCGGAGTTACTTTCAACTTTACATGGCAGAAACGAAATACAGATCACCCGTCTATATCTACAGCTAAGAATACTGAACATCGTTTCCCTTCTCTAAGGGTGAGAGTATCTCAGGTGAGGCCCGGCTCGGTATCAACATACACGCTTACGGGATCACAATACTTAACTTTGGCTGATCCAGATCTATACCATCTTTCGAGTGAGGATCACATGGATCACAGCCACCATTCTAATAAGAGATGTAATGAATAACAAGTTTAACAGTATCAATATCTGTCACTTTGCTTCACATTACCATTCGACCAGGAGACTACGTGATCAGTCTCAAATTACAAGACGCATATGTACCATTTGACGAGGAGCATCATCAGTACTTTGGCTGCATTATCAAAGAGATACGCTATAGATTGAAGCCACGTGGTTACCCAGCAGTATCTCAAAACCAGTCAGAAGGTTCCTTCATCGTCAAGGGATAGTCTTTGAAGCCTACATCGACCACATAGAAGGACACTGACCATATTATGTTTAGAAGCATATCGAATTCACAAAGACGTTGTTTGGTCCACTGTGTTGGCCGGTGAATGCACAATTCCAAAGGCATGATTCATCTTCCAACACCATTACACAAACATCACCAGTGCTGTGGAGTGAAATGCCTTTGCAGAAATCTTCATGATGCCATTTGCATCGTCCCACAACTTGTTCGTCGACGATCCGTCGATTTGGGTGCACACCTTCTGGATCAGCAAAAAACAGGATATTGGTCTGCAGACAAATGAAACAGTTTTGAGTTCAAGGCAGTAGAGTTAGCAATAACCAGAAATTCTCTCTCCATACTGGACCCACACGTATTGGATCAGGATGCGTATATTTTACCGGCGGCATTATAAGGTAGAACTAAGCACAGTAATAGTGCCAGGATTGCCTGTCCTCAACAGACAATCACGACGTGTGATGTTCAGTCGTCAATCCAGCGCGTTCCAATATTCTGTTATCAGACACTCAAGCACACGGTTATGATAAGCTCATTTGTACCATTCTGATGCATATTTATTACAGTAAAATATTCGTCATGTTTCTGGTCTTTCTTTGGTCATTGGTCACCATGTGATGATCGGATGGCACAGCGTATGTTCTGTAACCTTTGTTATTTCCCCGGTCTGGTTCTCGACTACTGACAAAACCACCCTGTCATAGTGTTCACGGATGAAACACAATATTAGAAAATACTCCTGCGTGTATAAAGGACATAGTATGTACTCATTTTATGGCTGTTTCAGATACCTCAGACTGAACAGTCATTTCAAATACAATGTTCGTGGAGCAACACTTGCAATCACCTGAACCGTAAGTGTATTTACTGTTACACCTCAAAATGTATAAGCAAGGACTTTGTTTTTCTAAGAAACGATGACGTTGTTGAGATAGAGTGTGGAGACTCTATTTCGTCTGAGTGAGCAGACATTTACATATCTAGTAGCCACGATAGACACATACGACGTCTGGAAGCTGTTGTATTTTGCTGTCATGATGGGGGTCATGCTCACAAGCTTTCATACATACGTAACCCAGTGGCACCTGGAAGTATATACAACGGCCACCTCTACGTCACTGTACCGACTTTTTCACTCAACACTTTAATGTAAATAATAAGTAAATTACGTTGTAAATGTTATAAACCATAAACGTTACATACAACAGTTGATTGATTGTTGTTTAACGCCACAGTAGTTCAGCCACAATATTTCAGGTTCTTGAGAGGCATATAGAAGTTGGTATTCACGCGTTGGACAAAATATTATGGATGTCAACTTCTTCTTTATGTGTACACAAATAAAATAGAATAAAGAAGAAGTTGACATCCATAATATTTTGTCTTATACACAATATTTCAGCAATATGGAGGCGGTCTGTAAATAATCAAGTCTGGACCTGACAATCCAGTGATCAACATCATGAGCATCGATCCACGCAATTACGATACGATGACATGTGCCAACCAAGTCAGCAAGCCTCACCATCCGATCCCGTTAGACGCCTCTAACAACAACCATGGGTTACTGGAGACCAGGGCCTAGATTTTCGAAGCTCTCTTAGCGCTAAGATAGTCGTAAGTGCCATACATTAACATTAACTTGCGACTAACTTAGCGCTAAGAGAGCTTCGAAAATCTAGGACCAGATCCGGGGGTAGAATAGATCTTCAGCAACCCATGCTTGCCACAAAAGGCGACAATGCTTGTCGTAAGAGGCGACTAACGGGATCGGGTGATCAGGCTCGCTGACTTGGTTGACACATGTCATCGGTTCCCAAATGCACAGATCGATGTTCATGCTGTTGATCACTGGATTGTCTGGGCCAGACTCGATTATTTACAGACCGCCGCCATATAGCTGGAATATTGCTGAGTGCGGCGTAAAACTAAGCTCACTCACTCACTACTGGAGACCCAATTCATGGAAATTGTGCTGATCCTGCTCACAATGCCGATGGCAGCCTAGTAGTTAAAGCGTTGGCTCGTCACGCCGAAGACCCGGGTTCGAATCCCCACATGGGTACAATGTGTGAAGCCCATTTCTGGTGTCCCCAACCGTGATGTTGCTGGAATATTGCTAAAAGCAGCGTAAAACCAAATTCAGTCAGTCAGTCACAATGCCGATTGTAGCATTGGGTTGATTCTACAGCTGTAATGCATGTGACAATAAATTATTGTGACGTAAATGACTTATGACAGTTTGTTGCTGTGAAACAAAGTCGTGAGTGTACGTTGTCCAGGCATGATTGACATGTACATAATTAAGACATGATTGACTTGTGATAGTAGGGGAGACCGGGGTCAATTGTAACACGGGTCAATTGTAACAAGGGCGATTACTCTAAACGTTTTCGCTCAAGCATAGTGTAGTGAGTAGAGTTATTTCCCTTTACTTTCCTGCGGTATACTCATCCAGGCGTTTTTCATCTGCTCGGTTATGGCGAGATACAGTTGACGAAAAATGAAGTAATTTTTTCACAAAACGTATTAAAGCGTTCTTAATGCAGTAAATGGTGTTTGGTATGAAATTAACTTTTCAAGTGTAAAATTTAGATATTACGACATATTTGGAAGTAGAAATATTTGAGAAGCCCAAGGTTGTTACGTGTGACGTGGCATGAAACATGGCTACTGCCAACAGGGGCAATTGTAACACTGTGTTACAATTGCCCCCATGTAATTTTCCCTTGTGTTATCATAATAAAGCAAATTATGATGAACGTTTTATGTTAGTTCTTTTACTAGGTTTATCATAGTAGAACATTTTCAGTGTTATGTTGATAGTATTAGCCTCGGGTGAAAGTTTTTGGTTTTAGTCTTTGTATTATTTTGGGGGCATACCAATACAAGAATTTTAAACGAAAAACATTTTAAATGTCGATGGTGATAAAGGTTTATTGTTAATCCATTTCCACCTCAACTGATCAAGATAACATCTTTCCACATTTTATTTTGATTTCATTTGGAAAATAAACAAATTGTTACATTTGAACCTTCTTTGTTACAATTGCCCCATCCACCTGTTACAATTGCCCCGTGCTAGGGGTCAATTGTAACACTTGTAGTCATTGCATTTGATACGTAATAACTTTGTAAAGACATGATAGTGAACTTGAAACGACACTGAGGTTTAAAGCCACGATGCCAATGTACTAGTTAGTACCGATTAACTTTGTGAGCGGTCGTCTGGGATCGAACTACAAGAAGTTAAGTAAAAAGTGTTAAAATTGACCCCGGTCTCCCCTACATAGTTCAGACATGAATGCGTCATGAGAATACACAATTAAGACATGACTGACTTGTGATCGTACATAATTCAGACATGAATGATTCGTGAGGAGACATTTCGACCACAGCGGCACGAATCACCCTTTACCGCTGAAAGCGTCGATATTATTCAAAATGTGTCTCGAATTTAAAAGAAAAATAACACAAATATTCGCTTGTCAAAGACTTTTATATTAAAAATATGACCCAGTTAAACATGTCAGAAACGACAGACACCTATCACTTAGGAAGGTGTGTCGAAAAAAGGAACCGCGAAGGAGGGTTTGCACCTACATAACTTCACGTAACAAGGTGAGCTAACACGCATCTCAAACTACTGACGCTGTTCACACGGCCAATCTAGAACGATGAGATCATTAAAAGATGACCTTCTTCACGGTGGAGACATACACGTCATCATTAGGCTTCCTCCGCTGTGGTCCTGCCAGGAACTCAGCCATGTTCGGCAGAGACGTAACCTTCTTGTGAAACTCCTGAAAATGTACGGAACATGTGTACAGATGAACATGCATGTGACTTTGTCCTTTACAAACTTTACACCTGTTGTTTCCTGCACGTGTTTTCCTTTTGTACTTTATTCGTGTTTCCTAGCTGTTCATTTCCCAGATAAGCATTTTTTGTACTTTATGTTGTTATATGATATTTATATAGCGCACATATCCACGCAACTAGTACATGCGGCGCTGGTATTATTTTCCATCGATCATTGGATGTCAATCTCAACGGCACATGGTATTATCAATCTCAACTCCCTGGGGACCATACAACTCTTGCAGCCACTAGGCACACCGAGTTAATGCGGCATTCCCATCCTTACGAGGTACCCATTCGCAGTTCACTGCACGTTGCTGTACCCGCAACTAGGTATTCATGTGGCAAACATCTGGTCATATTCAAACGGAATCGTCTGTTCTTTAAGTGCACAGGGTTGTGTACTGTACACTAGGGATTGTGACAACACTCAAAGAGTCTGCACACAAAGTTGACTCCAAGGTGTTTACACCCGGTCACAAGTGGGCTCGGCCCCGGCACCTTCAAGCTCGCTTGATCACTAGCCTGGCGCCTTAGACAGCTCGTCCACCATGCTATGCCCACATTACACGTGTCTTCCTGTTGTACGTGACCCGTGTTCTCCTACTGTACACCAAAAGGTCAACAAGATAAAATATATATAACAAAACCACCAGGAAGAGGATACAATAAAAACACGGACACTTCTGCCCAGGAAGCAATGAAAGTGTTGCATGCAGATGTTGTTCAATGGTTACAACTTTGTAACAAAGCAGTAAATCTCAAGCTGGTCAAAGCTTTCTGACTTTTCTGAATTTTTCATGCAGACTTACCTGAAGAGATGGATAATCCTTTAGAGCTTCTAACCCATAGTAGTCAATTGTCATGAGAACTGGCTCCAAAAGACCAATATCTGCCAGCGTCACACTATCGCCAACCAGGAAACCAGTTCCGTTTTTCTTCAGAACCTGTCAACAGGTAACGTACTCATTAATATGGCGGCATGGGGTCATATTCCTCCGTTCGTTTGAATGTTTTTGAAGACAACGCATGGCTGATTGATGTTAAGAAGATGTCAGTTGCCGGATATACCGAGAACAGAATGCTTTATAGAAAGTTGTGGACGAATGTGATTTGTACTTTACAGGGCAATGGCGGTCACACTCGATAGATAACGAACTAGGATAAGCTGGTTCATGTGCGAACATCAGATTCATTTCAATCGTCAGTCCCAGTGATCCGGCGTTTCAACCATAGGGAATTGTTTTGTACTGTACCCCAAATTAGACCTTCAGCAAAATTCAACAAAATCCCATAAAAATGAGAGCTTACCTTATCAAATATAGGGAGGTAGCGAGGCAAACTTTTGGCCGAGGCCTTCTCCAACACCTCCTTAATATCCACAAACACAGCTGGGTAGAAGGCGGACATAAAGTCACGCGAGCCTTCGAAAAGCTCGTTGATTCTGAAAAGAAATATTACACGTTCCCAGAGCCAACCAAACACTGTCTATTCGGAATACTTAAAGACCTTAGACCCACGAACTACAATTATATAGCATGCGTTGTGGAGGACTAGTTTTCATATGGGTAAACATAATTACTCAAAATACGAAAATTCATAAGTTTATTCAAGTTGAAAGATCATTCTTTACCGATGTTTAGTAGAATCACTAAACACTAAAAACCGCAACCGATCAAATAAAGAGGTTTTTTTTCAGGGGGGTGATCTTAGTGAGGTAATCTGCTCTGCAGAATCTGCATGGCAGGACCGTATGATTGTTGTGTCGAATCCCGGTTAACCCGAATATTGTTTCTGTGTTTGTTGGTACTATATCCGTGTTCGTGTCAACAATGAACTAAACGTCTGAGGCAACAAAGTCTTCGGATTATCCTCTCTCATAACCATTACGATGGCCTTCCATGAATACTGTTGAAAGCGGCGTTGAACGCTCACTCACTGTAAGTCATCCATTTAACTGAATACAATTACCTCAGTGCATATCAGAATCGCATGTATATATACCCTATTCTGCACGTTCGTTTCAGACCTTAATGCATATCATCAGAGGTGTAGAAGTCCGAGACATTAGTTAGGTCTTCCCTCACACATTCAGCTGATACAACTGGAATGCTGTTTTAACCAATCTGACACCTTCATTTCATTTTCACACAATTACTTTTAAATGCGTCATTACTTATTCACTGAATTTCATATTTCCATAAGTGTACACAATTACTTTAGTGCAGGCTGGATTCGTACATGTGTAAATATTCAACCTTACCCTGCACATTTGTTCCAGATTATCAGACACATATTCCTTTACAGACGGCGTTATACGCTCATTCACTGTATTTTGTATTGCACACAATTACTTCAGTGCAGGTTGACTTCGTATAGTTCAACCTTACACTGCGCATTTGTTTCAGACTATCATACACATTTCTTTAATTCAGAAGGATGTATGTTTGTGAACAGGTGCTGACGTACCTGGCCGTCTCCTCGTGTGATGACCCCAGCAGCCCTTCTTTATCTGCTATGTACCGAACAATGGCCCCTGTCTGAACCAGTCTCAGGCCATCTATCTCCAACATTGGCACTTGTGAAAACAGGAGTAGTCCATCTGAACATGGAAACGGTCAAATAACAATATGGTGACATAGTATCCATAGGTCCATCCTGCATTTAAGTACGAGTGAAGTCCACGTGTTATTTGCTGTTACATAACATAAACGTGGCGATAGTGGTATTAAGGTATCTCCAACAATGTCAACAATGTGAAAACAGAAGTAGTCCATCTGAACATGGAAAACGCCTTTGATGCTAATGGCTTTACTCGTGTATCCATACTTTTAGTTTATAGTGGTTAGACCTTCATCTATGCTTCAAATAACCCCACAATAACCTGACAAAATAATCCAAGATATCCATCTACATTAGCGTCAATAGTGACATGAGTTTATCATTTCATAATAGCTCCAACGTGTTTGTCTGACGTGCAACAAAGTTACCATGGGAACATGCACACATGCTAGAAACTGTTCCTGTTTACGTTGACGAAAAAAACACTTATTATGTACCTGATCTCCATTTTTCAATCTGCTCTCTTTCTGTTAGTAGCTCTTCTGTGAACTAGACAGAATGAATAGGTATAGGAAATGTTGAACAAATTGTTTTGAAATTTTCACTGGTAGTAATGCCGTTTAAACGAACGCTTAACAACTCATTCATACTGATTTTTTGTTAATGATAGACGAATATCGAGTGAAATTGCGGGAATGTATTATAGTGTTAGAGTAGCTCGTGTCATTTTATACGTTGAAATTTGGTGTATTCGGACACACATAGCATGATAGAAATGATGAACATCATACTCATATTATTAACTAGACAATAATGAATAGGTTCAGTACTAACGGTATCACGGACGATGGATGGTAGAGTCACGAGAGTCTTACAATGACAACAAGGGAAACCTACGCATCATTATGATGTAACATGTGAAAATGAGCTGCATTAAACTTTCTGAAAGTATGGCGATTGAGTGGATGTAACGTACGTCTGTGAGGTCGGGTAGCCATAGCGTAACCGCGTTGAGTACAATGTGTGAAACTTCGTTGTGGTGTCTTGATGTTACTGAAGTTTGGCTACAAGCGGCGCAAAACTATACTCAGCCACGCCCACATATTACCGCTAGCGAGACGACACTCGCTGTATTAACAATTGTTAACATTGTTAACAATAATTTCATCATCTGGTTAACAAATAACAACAGATCGTTCACTCACTACACTACCTTTTGTTAAGTAAAAGATTCAACAAAAGGAAAACGTTCATTGTTTGTAAAGAGCATGTATCTGTTTGTAATTATCTCATTGTGTGTTTGAGACGATTTCGTGCAGATGTTTTAGATGATCTCGTTTAAATGTTTGTGACGATCTCTTGTATATGTTTGAGACGATCTCGTGTATACGTTTGTGATCCGTATTTCACGGGCAACACTTCTGTTGCGACACCAGCATATAGTACACGTGGACCTGTACATAGAAATTAAAATTCTATTTATTGTTTACTCTTTGGGACATACATGACAACGTGCATATGTCAATGTTCAGTCGAACAGAAACTTAAATGTGTCGTAAACATTTTCATGACATTCGAAGGTTAAAGATCACATGGTCGACAAAAACATGCAAGATGGATGATCTCGTATGAGACCAACTATAGGTTCACCGCATCATAAACATTCTAGTATCTCACCTTGATACCACACGCCGCCAGCGTCAATCGTACTATTGCTCCTTTTCCACGTCCGTCAAAGTAATAAAGTTTAGGAGCTGCCATCGTTGTTATAGGTCGGAAAGTGTGCACTGAATTGCGATAGTTGTTGTTAAAGGTCAAGGACGGTGTCAGGGGGGGACTGGAGGCCACTAGGTCCGCAGTGGAGGCACAGCTGTGGCCGGGTGTGTTATAGACTAAGGCTTAGTCTCTGAATATATATAATTTTGATAGTAACAAACAAGCCCATTTATATTGAAAAGGAGCCCTAGGGAGACCAGAGATTCAGAACCTGAGGAAATCTAGACTTGCTTTATTTAGGGCTTTAGCACTGCAGAGAGGGCTTGGCAGTAGGGAAATTAATGTGGTTCAGGGACTGTGAGACAGACTAGGTGTGTTAGTGTAGGGACATTTGATCAGAATACTACGTGTGTACACATCCACGAATTCCGGGATCGTCAGCGACAGCCAGTACAGCGACGACGGTCATGTACGGTGTCGATGGAAATTGTTACCTGTGATATAACTAGACGGGGTTAAAGTTGTCTGGTCTCTGCATGCTTCTAACAAGTATATATGATGTACGCGTTGTGATAACATAATAAGCAGTGTTGAGAAAAATAACGGATTTCACTTCCCACAGGCCTATATATGTTTGCGTCAATCTATACCTATGAAAAACAGCGTACAGTTATATAACATCTTGGAGCATGTGTGTTTATCGTTATAGTGTACACTTCCAATTGAATCCGTTTCATTTGATTTGTCAGAAGGCAATGTTGCGACGTTAACGTATATATTTTAGATATTCAATTTCCTCAAAATGTATTAAGATATTAAAAAGTAGTATTCGTCAATGGTGTAGTGGTAATTTTAAAAATCAATAATATAGCCTGTACCGATGATTTGTAGACTTGATAATTCACGGAATCCGGAAAACACAAAGGAACTACCGAACCAGCAGCCTATTATTAGATATAACCTGTTGTCCATAACAAGGGACCGACAGCATGGCCTAATAATAGCCTGAGGGCAGATGAAAAAATGATTCCTGTTTCCGGAGGGGAAATTACCCATCTAGCCAAAGTTACTAACATGTATGTATGTGTGTGTATATAGAGAATACTACACGAGGTCTCATTACATACGAATTATACGAAACGAGTGTCCTTCCTATGGTATCTGACCGAGCGAAAGCGAGGTCAAATAACATAGGAAGTTCACGAGTTTCGTATAATTCGTATGTAATGAACGAGTCGAATATTTTATTTATTTATTACCCACGTCTTACATGCATTAAATTGACAAAATAGCGTATTTTTATTATTTTTGGGTTTCAAACCGAAACCGGTTTCATAAAAAGGTTGCGGAAGAGTTTTGTACTGTAGTACAATATTTGCATGACGTCACACTGTAATGACGTCACTGCCTTGGTAACCGACGTCAGGATGCATGTCAGTTGTCATCGCCTCGTACAGCCTCCTACAGTAAACTACTCCGTAGCACCCCGTTTCTTGGTTTGCAGTTGCTTCGTTCGGCTAACATTACAGGTGGAAACATTGCGTTTATGTTTTTCGACGGATATAATGTCTCAGTTCGACTCACAATTAAACAGCGACACGGCAACGGCAATGTTTACATTCCCACAATGCATTTAAGTTGTAGAATGAATGAATTCACGTGTTCGTTATGAATGAAAACATAGTTACGTCAGAATGTGACCTAATTGAGAGGTCATCGGTTATCCAATCGAATCGTTAGAATCTCAGGTCAAGTCGTTACGACACAGGTCAACGCGATACGACACTCGTGTGACGTACGAAATTAGTATGCAACTACCCATACGTTGACCACGTGGGTAATAAATGTATTTATCATCCAAAACTGTGTTCCACAGGAGATATTGCTTGTGTGAGATCATACGATATCTCCTAGGAGATATCGTTTTGACAGTAGATTTTGTACAATGCCCTGACAATGCTATGACATCATGAACTTGATGACGTCACAATGCTATGACATCGCTGCACAGCAATTCTAATGGCAATACTGTGTTCAGAGATGTACATTTTGCATTGAAAGCTAATGAAGAGTGATTTTTAATGATCAATAGAATCTCACCCTCGTGTCTACTGATATCAATTATATCAACACTCGTTGTTAAAAGTAATATATGAGCTTTATGAACGGCATTTTCAACTACCCCACGTGGATATCCTTGTAGCTGAAGATACGTCTTCAATTCTTCTAATCTTGCACTTCTTGTGTCCACATCCGAAACAATAGTACACACTCTTCTTGCCATTGCATATGGCATATTTCTTTTTGTGTGCCGCGGGTGACACGAAGTGAATTGCAAGTATTGATGCGTGTCCGTCGGCTGGTATTAAATATCCGTTTTCAGTTGATCTCCTTGCTTTATAATTTTTACGTCCAAAAATGAAATCTCATCATGGTCGAATTCCATGGTGAATGAAATCAAACGATGGATCGAATCAAGAATATTCAAAAAATAATTTAACTCTTCCACAGTTCAAATCCAAATAAGAAAGCAGTCGTGCTGTTTATTTGCTTATAAAACTTGTTGTTGAAATGAAAGGTATTATTTTCCAGTATTCATTTCAATGATTCCATTATGAACTTATTTGTGAAATTGCAGTCAATAGCATCAGGATGCTTATTTAGCCAATACTGAGCCGCTTCAAGTCCTAGATCATGAGGTATATTAGTGTGCAGACTTTTCACGTCAAAGGTTACCAGAACAGCATCCGTAGGTATGACTTCGGGCAGGTGATTTAAAAAGTCTGAAGAAAACTTGGAACCTTAATAACAGTCCTACACAACGTTTAAGTAACTTCTTAGATATCATTTGGAAACCACTCACAAAGAAGGTTCCAAGTTTTCTTCGAGATGACATAGGCTTTTGGGTCACATGACCGGACAATGCTGAAGCACCTGTCTAGACTTTCCGCTAGGCTCTTATGAAAATTGATTACACGAAAAGGCAAATGAAATTACTGTGTGTGTGCTTGCGTGCGTGCGTGCGTGCGTGCATGTACACGTGTGTATGTGTGTGTGTGCGCGAGCATGTGTGTGTGCGTGTGGTTTAAGGTGGTTTGGGGGTAGAAGCAGCACTGTACTTGAGTCTCTCAAACTCTATATTTTCATCATTAATGTTTTGAGGACAAACGTGAAGGTTTTGCAAAAGGGAATACAAACTGAAGAACAACTGACAGATATCATCACTTGTGTTGACCATCAGCGGGATCAGAAGAACACCCAGGTAGCTGATGTCGGACGTCCTCACAAAGTGGGGCCAAAATGGAAATAATAACATTGGGGAATTAGAACGGACCACGTCTAACGCTCAGAAGCGTCATGGAATGCAAACCTTTAGTGACACAATGAATGCGTTATACGTTAGAGAAGGAAAAATATGACTTTACAGAAAATACATTTAAATACACCTGTATGTCGCCTTATATCGAGAGCAAAGCCCGAAGTGACGCTCGTTTGTAGTGCTGGGAATCGAACCCACTATCATAGTTTTCTGTCACACCTTAAGAGGGGCAGCGTAGGCGATAGGGTCAATCGTGTCCCCTCATTGATTTGAGAACGCAATATAGTGTTTCACATAACACGATCCGGTGATAGAAGGGCCTTGGCACGAGTAAACCCTAATCAAGTTTACATGCCATCAGTAATTGAATGTAAAGTATAATATATATGTTACAGGTACTACGTCTGTCATAAGGGGGGTACTTTCACTCGAGTGCAGCAGCTCTCCACTGGTGGGCGGGCCGCGCTGACGACTGTTGTGCAATGAGATATCGTCTAATAGTTTAATCTTTTTTAGATAATATAATGCTGGCTTACAGTTCTAATGAACATGAATGACTCGAGACATGTGCGACACGTAGGAGTATGATGTTGCCACTTGATTGGCCCGTGACATTTCATTACTGGCACATAAATGATAAGTTAACAGTACCTTCAGATGGACTCGTGATTGTGCATTATAGTGGCATGACACGAGACGTTACTAAGACATGGGTGGCACGCGTACGTTGGAATACGATACTGCCACATGAACGACACGTGAGAGTACAATATTGCCACATGGACGACACGTAGGAGTACAATATTGCCACATGAACCACACGTGAGAGTACAATATTGCCACATGAACGACACGTAGGAGTACAATATTGCCACATGAACCACACGTGGGAGTACAATATTGCCACATGAACGACACGTAGGAGTACAATATTCACACATACATGATACGTGACTGTGCCACGTGTATGACTGGTGTTGCCCAGAGTACATTATTGAGACATTGGATTCGTGTCGAGCCAGGGGGGTTGGTCTGGGTGTGTCGGGGTGGGGGTTATAAAAATGTACAGTCAACCTTGACTATAAGTGATGCTGTGTAAGGTTTCTTTCCAAGGAAACAATAACAACATATCTGTACTTCAAGACGTTATATAGAAAATAGTACCACCGCACTGTGTTTTACACGGATAGGTAGTCAACAGTAAAATAGACAACCAATAATTATTAATATAATTTGTTGTCTGCATTGATACTGACTGACTTGCACATAACAGGATGACGAGAAGCATACATGCCTCCGTGTCTGCAGTCTCGCAATTTCAAAGGTATTTTAATCCACAATATATTTAAGATGGCAGATCAAATGTGCAATACATTTATCTCTGGTCATATTCCACGTTCTTCAAATCACGCACGTACTTTCTATGCATTCGTGACATGCGAGCAACTGATAAGTGATTATTCTTATGGAACTTCAGTCACGAACACCTTGATGATTCGGTCAAACTAAATTGTGTAATTCTGTCGAGATGACGATAAGAGCTCGAGTTATGAAAAGAGGACTTTGGTCACTGTTGACATATACACGTCATCATTAGGCTTCCTCCGTTGTGGCCCTGCCAGGAACTCAGCCATGTTCGGCAGAGACGTCACCTTCTTGTGAAACTCCTGAAATGGACGGAACGTGTGTAAGCGTTATAAAAATCTCATGAGTATGTCTTTTGTACGATACACGTGTAAACCTGTTGTTTCCTACACATGTATTCCTTTTGAAAAGTACACGTGTTTTCCTATTGTTAATTGCATGTGTTTCCCTGCTGTTCATTACACATGCGTGTCTGTTGTAAATTACACGTGTATTCCCGTTGTACATTACACGTGTATTCCCGTTGTACATTACACGTGTATTCCCGTTGTACATTACACCTGTATTCCCGTTGTACATTACACCTGTATTCCCGTTGTACATTACACCTGTATTCCCGGTGTACATCACACGTGTACCCACGTGTACATGGTCTACATTATTCGAGTATTCCTGTTGTACACTAAACGTGTATTCCTGACGTAAATTACACGTGTCTTCACGTTGTACATTACACGTGTATTTCTGATGTACATCATACCTGTATTCATGTTATGCCTCACACGTGCATCCCTGTTGAAATATATTATACGTTCGTCCTTGTTGTATATTATACGTTCATCCCTGTTGTATATTATACGTGCATCCCTATTGTATATTATACGTTCATTCCTGTTGTATATTATACGTTCATCCCTGTTGTATATTATACGTGCATCCCTGTTGTATATTATACGTTCATCCTTGTTGTATATTATACGTTCATCCCTGTTGTATATTATACGTTCATCCTTGTTGTATATTATACGTTCATCCCTGTTGTATATTATACGTGCATCCCTGTTGTATATTATACGTTCATCCTTGTTGTATATTATACGTTCATCCTTGTTGTATATTATACGTTCATCCCTGTTGTATATTATACGTTCATGCTTGTTGTATATCATACGTGAATCCCTGTTGTATATTATACGTTCATCCCTGTTGTATATTATACGTTCATCCTTGTTGTGTATTATACGTTCATCCCTGTTGTATATTATACGTTCATCCCATCCCTGTTGTATATTATACGTTGTATTATACGTTCATCCCTGTTGTATATTATACGTTCATCCCTGTTGTTGTATATATTATACGTTCATCCCTGTTGTATATTATACGTCATCATCCCTGTTGTATATACGTTCATCCCTGTTGTATATTATACGTTCATCCCTGTTGTATATTATACGTTCATCCCTGTTGTATATTACGTTCATCCCTGTTGTATATCCCTGTTGTATATTATACGTTCATCCCTGTTGTATATTATTGTTCATCCCTGTTGTATATTATACGTTCATCCCTGTTGTATATTATACGTTCATCCCTGTTGTATATTATACGTTCATCCCTGTTGTATATTATACGTTCATCCCTGTTGTATATTATACGTTCATCCCTGTTGTATATTATACGTTCATCCCTGTTGTATATTATACGTTCATCCCTGTTGTATATTACACGTTCATCCCTGTTGTATATTATACGTTCATCCCTGTTGTATATATACGTTCATCCCTAGACGTTCATTGTTGTATATTATACGTTCATCCCTGTTGTATATTATACGTTCATCCCTGTTGTATATTATACGTTCATCCCTGTTGTATATTATATATTACACGTTCATCCCTGTTGTATATTATATACGTTCATCCCTGTTGTATATTACACGTTCATCCCTGTTGTATATTACGTTCATCCCTGTTGTATATTATACGTTCATCCCTGTTGTTCATCCCTGTTGTATATTACACGTTCATCCCTGTTGTATATTATACGTTCATCCCTGTTGTATATTATACGTTCATCCCTGTTGTATATTATATATATTACGTTCATCCCTGTTGTATATTATACGTTCATCCCTGTTGTATATTATACGTTCATCCTTGTTGTATATTATACGTTCATCCCTGTTGTATATTATACGTTCATCCCTGTTGTATATTACACGTTCATCCTTGTTGTATATTATACGTTCATCCTTGGTGTAAACAATGTACAAAGCACGTTCATCCCTGCAAGAGGTAAAACAATGTGCAAGAGACGTAATGGAGATACTGGTGTTTAAGATGTTCAACCTCATTTACAGTATAAATGTCCCCGGTACATATTCACCTGAAGAGATGGGTAATTTTTCAGAGCTTCTTCCCCATAATAGTCAAGAACAGAGAGAATCGGTTCTAAAAGACCAACATCTGCCAGAGTCAAACTGTCGCCTACAAGGAAACCACTTCCGTTTTCTTTTAAAACCTGTCAACAGACAACATTGTCAGATGAAGAGTGCAGCTAACTGTTTCCTTTTCAGAATGCTTCCTCATATTTCTGGTCAAATGTCTGAATAGTACGGGAGTGATAGCATTTAGGGATACCACGGGAAAAACGATTGTGTAAATATTGTACTTATCAGGAGTTAGAAGATGAATATCATTTCTTGCTTCTTTGTCCATTGTATGCAAATATCAGAAAAGAATACATAAAGAAATATTTCTACTTGAACCCCCGAATAGACAAATTCTATACCCTCATGGCATCCCAAAATCAAACAGCCACAAAATACCTTGCAATATATATATACCACGCCATGAATATGAGATCCTCTGCATTACAGATGTGATATTATTTACTATATATTCATTTATGTTGCACTCTCTGCTACTGTATGTTCTATAGGCCTACGGCCTCTTCAGTACTGTAAATAAAGATTGATTGATTGATTGATTGATTAGTAGCATGTGCAAGGGCGAAAGTGTGGCCACACGAGCTCGGGCGTGGGTAAGGTAACCTTACTTGTGTTATATATTCAGAAGAGGGAGGGATCTCTTTCAAAAATTAATATAGTTTGTGTCGAAGGTTAGATTTATGATATAACGCGTTGTGTTTCTTCACAGCAATAATCCTCTAATTACTGTTCCAAACATCAGATTTGTTCTCATGTTCGGGGATAACACCCGACGACCAGCGTGATTGGCTACCTCGCCATTAATTAGACCTTGTTAAACTAATGAGCGCAAACACATTGAAATGTGAGCTCACCTTATCAAATACTGGCAGGTAACGAGGTAAAGCCTTGGCTGAAGCGTCACCCAGTACCTCCTGTATGTCCACAAATCCTCGACCAGGTTTGTACATGAAGAAGTAGGACAGAAAGTCCCGTGATCCTTCGAACAGCATATTGATTCTGGTGAAAATGAAAGTTGGGTGTTACCATGACCAGCCATCCAGCCATCCAACCGATCAAATGTTTATTCGGAACACTGAAAGGATTTATGCCCATAATATACCATATACTATCGCAATTGAGAGTGATTGATTAATTTATAAGTTGGTAAACATACATAAATTTCGAAATATATATGTTTGTAAAATATACCTGAAACGATGTAATACTGCTATGCGCTTAGGTAAAAAGAGGATTAAATGATGAAATTAATTTCAGATTAATCTAATAAATTATTATTATCTTTTGTTGAAGTTCCTGTATAGCATCCTCAAAGGGGGTTAATGTACTGTAAAATTATTGTCCCCCCGCGAGGATACGTAAGTCCCAAAACAGTTCAAGTAAATTTAAACTTACTATGCTTTTTAACTGCTGTATATATGTTATTTTAATGTTATGGCTAGAATCTCAAAAAAATGCTGACAGCTGAAGGGATGGTGTAAATCCAGCTGGGGTCCATGTATAGGTAGCAAAAGTAATGTCAGTCCCATGGTCCCTAGTATGGTGATCTACCTTCGGTTGTTGGCAATGTATAGCCTGTTTTTATATTGTATTGTCATTTACAGTTAAAATGTTTTAGATTTAATGACTAGTTTTAAATTTATGTCTGTCATAATCTAGTTGTTTTACTGTCCTTCGTTGACAGGTTTTTATAATTTACCTTAAATCATTATTAATCAATAACTTGATTTATTTACTATATGGCTGAAATAATGCCAAAGTGACTTTAGATTTTAACTCACTCACTCACTCCTGTATAGCACATTGTGCACATTCGCTTGCAACACTTCGGACTCGGATATTTCCATTCACATGATCATTAAGTTGACCATCCATGACGTTACTGGAATACTGTTAAAAACGGCGTTAAAAACTCACTGTGATTCATCTTTCTGTAACTGCACATAATTATATTCACATTTATAAACCTTAACTAGCCTTTAACCAATCTGTCTCATTCATTTAATTTTCCACAACGATTACTTTACTGTATTTTGTTTTGCACAATTAGTTAAGTGCAGGTTGAATTCATATATTTCAGCCTTATCCTGCACATTTGTTTCAGACTATCATACAAATTCCTATAATTCAGAAGGATATATGTTTGTGAACTGTCGCTGACGTACCTGGCCGTCTCCTCGTGTGATGACCCCAGCAGCCCTTCTTTACCTGCTATGTACCGAACAATGGCCCCTGACTGAACCAGCTTCAGGCCATCTATCTCCAACATTGGCACTTGTGAAAACAGGAGTAGTCCATCTGAACATGGAAACGGTTAAATCACAATATGCTTAGGTCCATTCCAGCACTTAAATACGAGTGAAGTTCACGTGTTACTCGATGTTATGTAACATACGCATTGCGATAGTGAGATATCAATCGCACAATATCCAGATGTTAAGGCCAAAGAATTAAGACAGAAATACTTGAACTCATACCAGTTACAAACAGTTTCATCTTGAGTTGACGTACGCAGCAAACTATTTACCTGATCTCCATTTTTCAATCTGCTCTTTTTCTGTCAGAAGTTCATCCGTGAACTAGATAGAAACCAACAGGTACACTGGGTATAACTTGACATGTGATAAACTAAGATTTTTTCACACAGATGTACTTAGTCTAGAACTCTCCTGCATATCATATGACGATTGTATTACACACTCAGAATGATTTTTGTCAAGACACGTTGTTACAGAGACGATCAATTAAGAGTGAAGGTGTGGAAACACATAAACTTTTGGTGGTCACAGTCTAGACCATTAAGAAATACATTAACGCTGTAGTCAGACGTGCACAGCCTGCTCTGTGACATCGCTCATTCTCTGGACGTTTTGTATGTCCCAACAAAGTTGATAAACGAGAAAACAACTGCTTGTATTTATGTTTGTGATCCTTATTTCACAGGGAACAATTACATTGCAACACCAGCTTAGAGTATACATAGGTAACTAATACTCCTTATATTCTGTAGCTTTCTTGAAAAGCATAACAACTTGCACATGTAAATGTTCAGTCGAACTAACACAATGATCTTATGAATCATGATACTTATAGACAAGAACATGTAAAACGTAACCGTCTCGTTCATGTAGACAAAACACCAATACACCGCCTCATAAACATACTTATATCTAACCTTGATGCCACACGCGGCCAGCGTTAAACGTACTATTGCTCCTCTTCCACGTCCGTCAAAATAATAGAGTTTAGGGGCTGCCATTGTTGATTTTGGGAGGAAAGTTTTCGGGAGAATGAAGAAGACTGAATGCCGGTTTGGTGATGCAGCGCCAGAACGAAGAGCAGAAATGACCGATCAGAGTAAAACTGATCTGAATGTCATATGTACAAGCACGAATACAGTATGGTAGCCGACAGAGGACATAACCGGGCGTCGATACGTACGACTGTTGTAAATGATGATACAATACTCCATTATTTGCCCTAATTTTAAACTTGTAAAAACAGAAAAGTCAAAAGATAGATTGTAGTGAAAACAAATGAATTACATATGCATTATACACTGTCAATAGATCGTCAATATTATCAGCCATGTTTGTGAAATACGTTTGCCGGTCATCTTGTAGATTTAGACTTGACTCCGATTGTGTAGTCGCTCGACTTAGTAATGGCAATGACACTGATAATGATGAACGAATAGTTATTATACAGTCAAATGTCACGCATGCATATTGCTAATAGTATGTTTCCCTTCAAATACAGACAGGTAAGATAAATGACTTCACCTTAGAGTCACACATTTGAGAGCTATGTTAACACGTAGCCACATAACTAGGACAATAGAAATGACATGCTGTTTTTTAAAAAATATTATTAAGAAGCTAATTTCATTTAGTTCTTATCGACCAAACTGGCTTCATTCGGTATTGAAATCCAATGCTTATGTGCTAGTAGAATTGAGATTGACTGACGTTATGACGTCCCTAACGCCGGGTGAGACAAGATGTCAGCGGATCCCTCACAGTATGGCTTCCCAGCTGCTAACACACGATTGCACATAGTTATATATCAGTTCCCTCTATGTTGAATTGTCTGGTGCGGTATCAACTCTGTCTTCTGAGAATATTTCCCACAAATACAGACAGACGGACACACGCATGTACATGCATGCACCCGCATAACCACTAGACAACAGACAGACAGACAGACACAGACACCACACACACAACTACATTCATAAACTGACGGTCAAACTTTATAAGCTAAATAGTTGCATGAGGTAAAATGCATTGATACATCAAAACCTCAACTAAATCAAAATTTAGGACAGCAACCAATATTGCCATGACAGTTGACCGAAACATAGTTTCTTTTGGCCGCCAGTTGAATAACACTGGAACATCAGGTATTAGAATGACATTAAATGTAACATATGTTATAACAGATCATCATGACAATCCACTTCACATTGTAATCAATGTTAAATGTACGTCCAACTGATATGGTTTTGTTTTCTCCTATTTTGTACCAAAGTACAACTATCAAAATGTCATAGCGGTGCTTATCAAACTACACAGTCATGGTTACATGTAGATTGTTAAGACATACAAGTATGTGGCAGGATCCAATGATTGCTGCTTCGAATCCTTAATTTGCAACCACTATGCTAAAAGGGTTTGTAATTGTCTTCAAGTGGTAAACGGTCGGCACTTCGCCTTTAATACATCCCGATACATCTGAGATACCACAGAAAGCGGTGTGAGGCTCGGTTAACTCCCTAACCGCCATGTCAGTGGACGTCACTAGTTGTGCTGAATATCTCCTGTGTTTGATAGGTATAACTGACATGGCAACAGTGACTGTGTGTATAACTGGCGCAAACTTTGGGTGAGCACGTTACTATCAGCCCTCATGCAAGCTACCATATAATATATTCCCCCCAAAAGTTACGTCTAAATAATTTAGATTACAATATTAAATTAAAAAGTTCGAATGAACTAATGCAACGTTGCAAAATCGACTCTCGCGCCCTCTGCCGGCCGAACTCCATAGTGTTATGTCCCTTGGAGCTCTCTTTACGAATATCCTACACACAAACCCGTGAAATAGGGTCCGGGTTAGAGAGAACCTTCAGTAACCCATGCTTGTCGTAAGAGGCGACTAGCGGGATCGGGTGGTCAGACTCGCTGGCTTGGTTGACACATGTCATCGGTTCCCAGTTGCGCAGGTCGATGCTCATGCTGTTGATCACTGGATTGTCTGGTTCAAACTCGATTATTTACAGACCGCCGTCATATAGCTGGAATATTGCTGGGTGAGGCGTAAAACTAAACTCACTCACTCACTGTACAATTACCCGATCACAGCTGTAGGTCGATTACCCGATCATGGCTGCATATTACCCGACAAAGCGATAGTACCACGCGATATTAACTGACGACACGATATACATAGCGATATTGCGATACAGCCAAAGACGAAACAGCGACAAGATACTTGAATGGTTGGCAGTTGAGGAAGGAGCCAGGGCGATTTTCGACACCAGGCCCTCCAATCAATCCATAAAAAAGTTTCGTCATCGTATTCAAACGTTGAAAATCTACTGTGGATATGCCACAAAAACTTCTGAAAGATCGTAAACATGTCGATCTCATTGATGGAGAAAATAACCAATGCACCGCTTCGAAACCCTTCATGTATCTCACTTTGACCCGGGTGGAAAGTTTGGGGATGGCGTGAGGCTTAGCCGCTTAAGAAGGCCAAGGACGTATGAAGACGGAATGCATGTCAACAGACACGAAGCAGTGATAATGTGCAACAGCTTTCAAGTGTTGACCTAGTTTGAAGGACGCGGTTAGATGATACAGTGTGCAGCAATCAGTCGAGGATCGTCACTGTGCAGTAGATTCTATACGACACATAGTGGCCGTGACCCTGTACGGTGTCCATGGAAAATGTTACCGGTGATAAAAAGTGGGTAGAGATTCAATCGCTTTATCTCTTCTTCGGACAAGGGTCCGCAGTTTTGATAGCACTGCACTGTATACAGTAGGGTAGATTGACCTAATCTTTTCAGGTGAAGGTACTCGCGTATCTCGCTAGAGACTTGCAGTCCTGGTAGTGGAGACTCTCGATTGTTTAATTGGCTGGCGACGAGTGTTGCGATCAGCTACGTTGTGGACGGACCATGGCGACTCAACCACGACTAACATACTTCGACGGACGAGGCTACGGGGAACTCATCAGGATGACACTCTGTGCTGCAGGAATTGAGGTGAGATGGACTTCAAATCAGATCTGATACGAAAAAGAAAAATAGTAGGGGTGTGTGTGTGTTTGTTGGCAAATATAAGACACCCCCCACCTACCCACCTGGATAATTAATGGCAAGTTCCTAAGTCGAAGTTTCTGTTATTAGGGACAGTTCATAATTTATGGCTGGGGGGGGGGGGGAATGATGATTTTTATGGAGAAGAGGGTACAATGAGAGTGACCCCCCCCTAAAATGTATGTATAAGGTTAGTGACCCTCTCCTGCATGTCATGTACAAAATCAATGACAACCCCACCCCTCCCCCCTTCCCATATTTCTTAAGCTCAATTTTAAAATATTTCATGTACAAAATTGCTGACCCCCTAGGACATGCATACCTCCCCAGAACAAAATGAGTGCCCCCAAAATCTCACACACACACACACACACACACACACACACACACACACACACACACACACACACACACACACACACACACCCCACCCCCTAGCCATAAATTATGAACGGTCCCTAGCCATAAATTATGAACGGTCCCTTATGTATTAATATCTGTACATTCACTTATCTCATGTGAGTTGAATTTTGTTACTGACGCAAGTAAGGCATTTAAACTAAGGCCTTTAATGTTGATAATGATAATATTAATACCCAATCTCCCTCTGTCTGTTATTCAAATTAAATGAACCTTAAGATTAATGTATCTAACCATGAAAAACAGGCCTTCCATACCTTTCAGTATAACACAGTATTATACAAGCAAGTCGAGATTTTCAACAGGTGCAGAATCTCCCACTTCCCTGGAGCTTCTTTTTCAGATTGTGTTTTAATGTTTCTGTCAAAATAATATATCAGAAACCAAGTGTTATTCTAGGTAATAAAATGATGAGGATATTCAAACATCAGGCTTCTTGGATGTTACAGAGCATAGGAGACCTTTATATCATATCTACATGTAGTCAATGAAGGTTTTGTGAAGTTGTGTGTTACATCACAGACCTGTTCATAAGTTTGCTATGAGATAATGGCTTAATTCCTTAAAGGTCACATGCAACGTAAAATACAACTTTGCAGATTCTGATACCTTTCGGTATGGACTTACCGAAACAAATCGTCAAAAATGCAAATTCAACTTATAAAGTTGAAAAATAACGCAATGAAAAAAACGCGAAATCGGAGTTCAAACGTTTCACTAAATTTCCCCCGACTTTTCTGGGGAAAACGGGTTTCAACAGCTGGGCTGCGCTCATAGCATGTGCGCAGTGAAATAGGTTCGCGCAGCTTGGAAGCGGGTTGTCCGGTGAATACTCGGTGAAGGCTTTGGTGTGAGCTATTTTTCTAGTGTTTTGTTGATATCTCACAGGTGCGAGCTTTTTATATGTTATGACAGTAAATTAACTGTTTATATAATTTCATTTGTCTATTTCACCACACGTTCTTCTTACCGAGTCACTTTTTCAGTTCGATACTTAAAAGCAATGTCATTATTTAGTGTTGACAGAATTTCTAACTGTGATATAGATATGTCGTTGTCACAGACAAAACTCAATGTCTTGTTTTATTGACACCTGTGTGACTGCCTGCCTGTCTGCTAATGACAATATTCAATACACAGCTGCTATCACTGACCACATGCAATTTGAACTTAACACCAATCAGGCTATACACCATAAACAAAATGCATTGATTTATGGCCCGAGTTCGGCCTCTGTCACATTATGTAATTACACAGACAGGCAGGTGTGATACTTGAACACATGACATGTTATGATGTCTGTTGATTGCAAAATGTTATACACAAAAAATGAGCATGTATTTACAAAACCCAACATCTCTATATATACACACACAATGAGCATCTGCAAATGAACCAGCCGTTACACTTGAGTGCACACCCACCCGCTCTGACTGGGTTCGGTATCCCGGCGGCTTCGTTTCTTGGGAAGTAAACCGAAGTACACAATATTGCACTTTTGATTTGCGATTGTATGCTTATAATTTTGTTTATATGTTTTTGCATAATCAGCAATGTATATTATATGTCATGAATAAGTGATAATTGTGTTTTAATTATGTTTGATTTTTTGGTTGCATGTGACCTTTAAGATATTAACCCCAAATACTTCATTCTGCAATTGTTATGCATTCTTTGTTTTACCCTGCCTTTACATCAACTTCCACTGACTGAAGTTTATTCAAAAGGGGATAATCACATGAAGGATATTTACAGAACAAATCTGCCATTCTGTATGAGACAATTACTGCACTAGGTGGAGTCACCGCCATCGATGATAAGACCATACCTCATGGAAAGACTGGCTGTAATTAATGACAACTTCTGGCAGCATACAAATGTATACATATAGTATTGGTTTACCTTAGCCACAATATAATAAAACCTGAAAAATCAGGAAAGTTAATTTTGTAGTATGGTAAACCTGTATCGCAATTAAGCACTCATCCCCACCCACTCCCAACCCAAAAACATCAGGAGCTAATACTTGTGTCCATTCTCAAACTTTTGAGCTAAAATAGTATACTATAATAGTAGTACTATGCGTGTGATTTTCCCTAAATGTATTTCAACTATGATATCACAATGCTAAGTAGGAACACTTTTTATAATTAAAAACATTGAAACTATGGGACCGAAGTTTGGTCTGAGAAAATCCTGAAACTGAAATTGCCAGGCCTCAAATACATACCAGAGGTAAAGAGTGCCCCAGAATATACACCCAGGCTTTACTCGAGGAAATACGGTACTCTAGTTTTATGTTGCATAGGACAAGTGCATTGTTTTCTTTTGCTATTTTATATTTTCAAATCATTTTCATTTTTCACAATTTGATAAAGAAGAGAAGTTTGTCCCATTCTTTACAGATTAATCCTTTTTACATTATATACTGAACAACATTAGAAACGCACCACACTAAAATGAACCGACGATGCTCAGATGTGAGTACATTTCAGTCTGACAGGGATATTTCTTATTATATGGGTGGTGCGTTTCTAATGTTGTTCAATGTTCAGTATACTTTTAAGAATATTGTAATGCTAGTTAAAAGGTTAGGTTCTATGTCGGATGTTTAATTTTCAACACATTAAACATAATTTTTCATTCTTAAATTGTTATTATATTTATGAGTATCTTTTTACAGAAATTGCCAGGATCCTTAACTTACACACATCATGGTGTGTGTATACTGGGGAGAAAATATTTGTAAATGATACAGGGTTTTACACAGCTTTTCAAAACTGGGATTCCTTGGGATATTTGCTTACCATTTGACCATGATGATGTTATAATATGTGTTACTTTCAATGTCATTAGTATCATGATTGTAAACAGAATGTTTATATTTTAATATGGGATATCATTACAAACTCAGAAAGTTCTTTCTCAGAAAACAATTATATTGCGTCCATAAGGTCGCACAGGATTTTAGTTTGGGGTACTTCATCAAATTTCAGCATCCAATATGCAAGAATCAAGTGTCCAGTAAAACCCTGATGATGGATATCATAGAAGTTGTACAACAGAGACAAGAGCTTAGTCTTTATGATATTTTTACCGTTTTCTGGAACCTTATATTTTGTCAGTTCACAGAGTGTAACATGGAGTCAAGAGAAGAATTCCTTCAAATGAAAGCAGGTAATTAGGCAATGTGATCTGGTAACGTCAAATATTTCAACATTTCATTAATATTTGAATCTGGGTCAGACAATCCACTGACTGATACCATGGGCATCATCCAGTGCTCTTGTTGATGTGCAGACAACCAATTCATTGAATGTTTTGTTGACAAATATTAATCCAGGATTTTGATCATCACATGTATTGTTTACTCGATTCATTCTGATAACTATTCAAACCCAATCATAATTATTTTAGAAGTTACATAACCACCTTCAGAAACTTTATTGCTTCACACATAATGTCTGTTGCTCATGAATGCAACTGACCCATGAAGATCCGGGTTAGAATTGGTCTTCAATAACCCATGCTTGTTGTAAGAGGCGACTAATGGGATCGGGTGGTGAGGCTTGCTGACTTGGCTGACACATGTCATCGTATTGTAATTGCGTGGATCGATGCTCATGATGTTGATAACTGGATTGTCTGGTCCAGCCTTGATTATTTACAGGTTGTCGCTATATAGCTGGAATATTGCTGAATGCGGCTTTAAACAACCAAAGCCAAACTATGAATGCAACTGGATTGGACAGGTGTTTCTAGTGTTGTGTAGTTGCATAATGGTTAGGAACAATGTAATGGTATTTGATGGATCCAAGACATTTATCTGAATGTGACAGTATGTGAGCTGTGAGTGTCTGAAACAGGTTTTTCCTTTGTAACTGAATCACGTGTGTTACCAGGTGGCAAGATGCTGTACGGTCAGCTGCCACTGCTAGAGATAGATGGACAGAACCTAGTTCAGAGGAGGGCAATCCTACACTACCTGGCCATAAGGGAGGGCTTGTATGGTTCTAACCTCACAGAAAATGGCTTGTAAGTAATCCTCACATGCAGTATGTGTATTGATCATTTCTATATGACTGGCGTCCGGTGTATGTTGTTTAAACTTGTACTGCGGCTTTATGATGGCTGTCTATAAATAATTGAATCTGGGCCAGGCAGTCCAGTGATTGGCATCCCAAAATGGGATGCAACGACATGCTTTCATGTCACTGAGATTGCCTCTGAGACAAGCCAAGAGTGGCCATAGTCTGTCTCACAGTCCCTAAACCTCATTATTTTCCATTCTGCCCAGGACTTCTTACAATGCAACAGCTCAAAATGGAGCAAGTTTAAAGTTCCCTCAGGTTGTGAATCTCCCAGCACACTGGAGATTCTTTTCAATTAAATTAAAGTTATTTGTTTCTGTCAAAATTATCTATATTTAGAGACTCGGTGTTTTAGATTGCTGGGTAACTGTATCCTGGACAAATTTGGGAAATAACATATCAGGAGCATGTTGTTGGTGGGGTTTTTTCAATACTTGATTGTGACATGTTTTTTGTAATAATGTGCAAAGAACAGATGCTTTGGAACAGAAAAATGAAATGAATGAATGGTCATCAGACAGAACTTGACCACTTGGAAGGGATTGACCTAACAACTTGAGGTCTACAGGTCTGGGTAAGATGAATGGATGGATTTAGGTCCAAGTAGGTATTCATAGGAATTTGTCAACCAATGGTCTCTTAGAATGTGCTATTCTGTAGAAAGAATACCTGACAAGACTAGTTTGTGCAGAAATATGTAAAAGGATTATTGTGTATTATTTTCTTTCATTGGCATTTGGAGCAACATACCCCAGGCTGTTTTCAATCATCAGGTGTCCTCAATGTGCTCTAGTTGTTCATCTGTATCATTGCCACTCATAGTGACACACAGACCGCCTCCGTGGTGTAGTGGTTAGAGCGTCCGCCCGGAGAGCGGAAGGTCGCGGGTTCGATCCCCGACCGCGTCATACCAAAAGACGTTAAAATATGGTACTTGTTGGTCCCTGCCTGGCTCAGCATTAATGGGTACAACAAGGACTGGTGGGCTCAGAGTCAGAATAATGTCTGAGTGGGATATTCATGCTTCACTGCGACATGGTATCTCAGTGGGCTAGCACTATAAAACCAGCTTCAGTCTGGGCTAGTACAAGCAGCCGCACATACACATACACATGCATGCACGTCATCATATGAGCGAAATATTCTCAAGTACGACGTTAAACCCAATTTCACCTCACCTCACCGTAGTGACACACATGTTGACACTGCTCACTGAGGTGTGACACCACCCCTTTGTCAGGACAAGTTGCTGGGTTTGCCAATGAAGGTGTCATGTAAAATACAAATGAGCAAATACTTTGTTGCTGTCTTCATGACATAGCACCAAAACCACTTCTGTGAAGTAATGTTATTTCCATCTGCCAGAACACAATAAGATGACTTTGATTTAAAGAAGATTACATATCTCTATCTATGCCAGATTTCTACTTTGTCAGTTTATCAATATCAGTCAAGAAGATGTTTAAGAAGCATTGTACAAGTGTAAAGGTCATTCAGCTATGAAGGTCTGGGTCACAAGGGCCAAATGGACAGTCCAGGGTCCTGGTCGTTTAATATACTGTACTTCACTGTACAGAGTTGCCTCCCTTAGGTATGCCAGGAACCTATGATTGTTGGTTTCAGTTTCAATCCAACTGCATTCCAATTTTTGTCAGCATCATTTCAATGTTTGTGAATTTCACTAAGTACTGTGCAGAGTTCCATCCCTTGGGCACATCAGAAACCTATGACTGTGGCTTTTAATCTCAGTTTTGCCCCGAATATGTATTGTGGTGTAAAACATCACTGATTCAGTGCTTGCAGATTTCATGTAGATGGTAAACGTCTGACTCATGCATCCTTTTAGACCTTCCTTGTACATCATGTACTTACTAGGATATAAGGTGGCAACGTGGGGTAGCCGTTAGTGCGTTCTCTCGTCATGCCGAAGACTTGTGTTCGATTCCCCACTTGGGTACAATGTGTGAAGCCCATTTCTGGTGTCCCCTGCTGTGATATTGCTGGAATATTGCTAAAAGTGGCATTAAACTATACTCACTCACTACTGGGATATAACTGGAATACAGTTCAAAGCAGCATTAAAACCCATATTACTCATTCACCCAGTTGTGGCTGAAGCCGGGGTTGTTTGGTTCGTGACCAGCCAAGGGGTAATTTACAGTCAAATGACCTAAAACATTGACGCTAACTGATTTTGTAGAAACAGTGTGAAACTGTGTACAGTGTAGTCTATTTTGTTTTATTGGTTTGACTTTAACAAAATGGGCAGCAGGCCAACTGGCAAATTAAAGTATCGCAAATACTGATTGATTGATGTATTGATGTATTGATTTATTGAATGATTGTCATCATCCTCATTTATCCACATTAAAATCTACCATCAGATTTATATTTTACTCTCATCCTACCCTCACTTGAAAAGGTTGGATTAACCAGAGTTTGAGCACAAATGTAGATTCAGTAAACGGTACAAACATTGAGATTTGTGAAGGGTTTTAATTCTGTCAGGTAAATCTGCAAGGAAGAAATATTCTATCAAAAGAAAGAAATATTTTTAGCCAGATATTTCAGCTTAAAATGTTTCTGCCAGTTTTTTCTGCAGCCTTACTTTTTCATAAGCCCATGTTTTGATGTAAAGCCAATGTTATGATGTAAAGCCAATGTTATGATGTAAAGCCAATGTTATGATGTAAAGCCAATGTTATGATGTAAAGCCAATGTTTTGATGTAAAGCCAATGTTATGATGTAAAGCCCATGTTTTGATGTAAAGCCAATGAAGTCAGCTCATCCATAGCTTTCCAGTGAAGTGGTTCATGTGCCTCTACCACTTCTGTGTGCTAAAGTTGGACAGATGGTCGTTCTTAAGTTGTTCCACCATGTATTACAATAATTATTCCCACTTCATATCACTGTGAAGTATGCATACCTGTTTAGTTCAGACAATATCTTGTACCTGAGCTTTATATTGACAGAGTGGAGATGTACTTCGAGGGGTCACGGGACTTCATGAACAGCTTTGACTTCCTGGTGTTTGACGATGTGGAACCAATTCTGCAGGATTATCGGAAGAAGTTTTTCCCCAGATATCTTCCAGTGTTTGAAAAGGTAAACAAAGAAGAAACAAGTAATCTTCTCTATTGCAGTATATTGAAAACATCGTCAAATTCTGACATGGGTAAAACTTGACATCCTTTTATTTATAGACATAGATATAAAATTGAAGTATGCTTAAAACATGCTTACTCACAATTCCCAGTTGTTTTTGATAAAATACAGCGTTTCATACCTCATGTGACACCACAGTATTCTTAATATCATTCCATTTAATACAGTTTGTAGATGTCACTGAGATTGTGATTAGTTTGTATGGTACATGGTGTTGGCATGGGCTGTGTTGTTTTTTGACATTAAACTGTGTATTTTTGGTTGTCTTACTGAATCTAGATTCTGGAGGCAAGCAGCAGTGGGTACCTGGTGGGTAAAGGCATGACCCTTGCTGACATTTCACTTCTCGAACCTCTGCTGACAGCACACGAGCAATTTGGGGAAGGTGTTCTGGATGGCTATCCTAAGTTGAAGGTGAGTTGTCTGCTCTGCAGATATTCCCACCATAGGTGAGTATGCTGCTTTGCAAATATCCCCACTTTAAGGTGAGTATTCTCCTCCACACCTCTCCCCACTCAAAGGTGATTATTCTCCTCCACACCTGTCCCCACTCAAAGGTGAGTATTCTCCTCCACAACTAGGAGAACTGAATATACAGCACCAAGCCATTGTTTTAAGACTTGTTGTCTTATTTTACAGCAGGAGTGAATTAAATTGGAAAAATGCGAGTGGTCTTGCAGTAATTAAACTTAATGTTTCCGAAATGATTGTTAACTCCGAAATGATTGTTAACATGATGGCAACACTTTGGATAGCAGAAATACCAAGTTAACATGTACAACAAACAAGTCTCTAGTCCATACCAGGGTTTAATGAACAGTAATTTCAACAAGTATTCCAGTTTCTTCTTTGATGGGCATTTTAGAAGTTGAGTTGATGAAGAATAATGACAATTATTATGGATATACAACTTCTTTTATCCTGTGGAGGCGACGTTTCGACATAGATTCTAATGTCGTTGTCAAGCAAGTGATACATGAGTAACAAATTGAGAGAATATATACATGAGTTGTTATAACAGTAAATGGGACAAGACCAAAACCATAGAAAGGAACCAGTCAGACTACAAAATTCATAAACTTTTGGAAGCAGTACACATCAAGAAGGTAGGACCCGCCCTCAACAGAGATGAAGGATTCTAAATTCCCAATGCCTACCATGACTTGATAAAGTAATCAATAATATTTCTTGTGTACATTATCTGTTTCAATTCAACTATGTACATCAACCCCATTCATTGTATAAACATCCACCTGGCTTCCTATCAGTTGTATAAGCTCTAGTGCAGTCCTTATATGTCACCCTACTGGCTTCCTATCAGCTTACTCAGTCTCTTATACAAGCATTGTACAATACAACTAGAAATTATTGAGAATTTAAAGATTGTAATTTTTTTTAAAATTTTCACTCATTACTCACGTATTAAATAAGTTTACGTATATTAAATTAGCAGAACATAACTCCAGATTCAAAGACAGGTGAACAGTTAGTATTTTGTCAAGTCACCATGGGCAGCAATGCAGGCTTGAATGCTTCGGGGCATACTACTGATCAAAGAAGTTAGAAAGTCGTGGTCCATGCTGTCCCAATATCGGACCACCTCTTCTTTCATTTCAGCAATATTTGTCAGATTTTTCTTATTGACACTTTCCTTCATAAGTCCCCAAACAGTTTCTATTGGATTTAGATCAGGGCTATAGCTTGGGCAATCTAATAATGTCATATTTTGGGTCCGAAACCAGGCCTGTGAATGCTTTGAACGATGTTTTGGGTCGTTGTCCTGCTAGAAAATCCAAAAATATCCATAGAACACTTGAGCAGATGGAAGTAAATGTCCCTTGAGAATATCTGTGTACCGCTCACTGTTCATGTTCCCTTCAAATACACAGAGGGGCGTTGCCCCTAACACAGATATGCCACCCCACACGTTAAATTTTGGACTGTACTTTGGGCGCTGATACAAAGGTTTTTCATTTGTTTGGTCCAGAATTTCAGTGTTTTAGGAAACAGCCACACAGAACTTTCATCTGAGAAATTAGCATTGTCCCAGTTAAAATTTCTATGCTGTAAGCACCAGTTCAACCTTCGCTCCTTTTGTTCAGGTTTCATGATCGGTGATGGAATTCCTCGACTTTTCTGCCAACCCATTGCATGCAGCTCAGTTCCAATTGTCTCCTTACAGACAGCCACAGTTCCTCTATCAATCATATCAAGCCTTAAGTTTCCTAAACTCCTTCGTTTGTTTTTAGAAACAAGAATACCAAGCCGCCTCCTGTCACTGACAGTCAATTTTCTGGGCCTACCTGCGCCTCCCTGGTGCTCAATGCCATATCCATTTGCAATATTTTTCAAAACACGATAAACAGTGGACAAAGGGATGCCTGTTCTACTTGAAATGACGTTAGCTGATCTGATGTCCTTGTTATAATACTCTAAAATCAACTTCCTCTTCTCTAAATCATCCATACTGAGGATCACTGAAAATGTCGTCTGCTAGTAAATGTAAACAAAGGGGGATAACTCTTCACAAATTAATGAAAAAGGATTAACGGAGTTGTCTCTCTTGAATGAAACCAAGCATTTGATAGCTGGTCAAGGTTGTTTATACTAGAAATCCAATTAAACATATTCCTAAACTTCTCAATAATTTCTGGTCATACTCTACATCAACCTCATTCATTGTATAAACAACTCATTCCCTATCTACTGTAATAACAACTCATGCATATATTCTCTCAATTTGTTACTCATGTATCACTTGCTTGACGACATATGTCGAAACGTCGCCTCCACAGAATAAAAGAAGTTGTATATCCATAATAATTGTCATTATTCTTCAAATATACCAGTGTTAATATTGAGTTACACTTTAGCCTTTGGGCAAACAGTCACATTATTTTTCAAGATTTACTGTATTTTGTTCCGTGACTTTTACTACGAACGAATGTCTTTATTTAAATGTGACGCCAAGAGTCAGTTTACATTTTATGTCATATAAGCATTATTACAGCCATATAGTGACTCCATGACAAACCCTGACTTATACCCTATGGTTATGTTTTTGTGGACAGTGATTTTCCCTCATTAATGTCATGTCTTGAAGTAATTCCAACATTTATTTTTTGAAAGAGCCACAATAACAGCCTCAAAACCATGGGATTAATATGCCCAAGATTGAATATCGAAATTTACATGTATGTCTTCACAAAAGTGATCAGGCTGCTTTTTAAATGCTATGAATGTTTTTTTCAGGAATTCTACAAAATGATGACAACACTCCCAAACATCGCTGCTTTTCTTAAGGGACCTCATCGCAGACAATCGAACACCCCTGAGCATGTGAAAGACGTGTGTGAAATCGTTGCTATGGAATTCCATCGATAGATGACAACTGTTGCATAACTGTTTATTAATAAAAAGGAATGACATTGAGGTGATGTTCAGCAACATGACAAAGAAAAACATTTTGATGTTTTTGACTTGTGGAGATTTTATGTAGGCTTCCAATTTTGTCACGAGTTACCTCCCTTCCATTGGGTAGCCCCGTGTTTGATGAGCTTCAGGCTGTATTATTCTGGGATTCCATCACTCCTTGCCAACATGTCACTTGTGCAAAACAACGAGTGATAATGAAAAAAATACCGTGTTTCACTGAGACATTTCAAAAGTAGAAATTTCACAACACAAAACATAAATACAAATTGATATTCATGAAATGCCAGTAGGTGATGTAAACATATATGTAATGTTTGAAACTGGATGCCTGACTAACATCGCATCAATTTGCTAAGCCGATGGTAGAGGAAGACAGTGAGGTGGTGCGTCATTCGGGTGACAGCAAACAGTGGACTAAACTAGATTTTGCTGCTTGGGATTTGGAGAGTTGAATCGACCCCTAGTGATATGAAAGTATGCCTTGCAAACTCGGTGAAGTATTTTGACATTCCTTGACCTAGATATGGCGACATGGATCTTAATTCAATATTTGTTGTTTAAATGTCGATAATAATTTGTGTTCTCGTTTTTCTGGCTCTTTTTGAGTACTGGATGTCCGGAAATTTAAATTGGATCCAACAGCGACAGCTCCGAATACTCTATAACATCCGCAAATAAGATTTGTTTGGTTTGTTTGTTGTTTAACGCCGCACTCAGCAATATTCCAGCTATATGACGGTGGTCTGTAATAATCGAGTCTGGACCAGACAGTCCAGTGATCAACAACACAAGAATCGGTCTACGCAATTGGGAAACGATGGCGTGTGTCAACCACGTCAGCGAGCCTGACCACCCGATCCCGTTAGTCAAATAAGAAAATAATATCGAACATTGAATTCAAAATGTTAATCCGTATTTGATAGTAGCACAGACTCTCAAACAGTTGAGACACATATTACACCAGTCTGGCCTGTTATGACAATGGTACCACGTGCTGCATGAAACAGTCGCCTGGGCCCCGTTTCTCGTAACTTTTCTCTTAGCATTCGTACCTCCTATACTGTGACATAGGAGGCACGAATGCTACGAGAAAAGTTACGACATCTTAGGATTACGAGAGCTTTGTGAAACGGGGCCAAGGTTCGCAGACTGCTCCAAAATATCGATTAAAGCAAATTACTATCGAACGCAACATTATAGGTCCCCCGTCGTTAAAAAGAGTTGGCTATTCATGTCGACAATCGTTTTGTTTTTTCTAAAAATGAAATTAAGACAAAAATTATGCGTACATATTTCTATCACAGAAGACTTCTGGTCGTCATCGAAACCAATTCCACCCTGGCTTTCGAAGTGCGGTTGCCAGTTGCAGACAAATTCCATAATGATTTTAAAACGTTACTGTTCGTGGCAGCGTATTCAGGGAATGAGTTGATGAACGTCAGGCAGCAACAGGAACATCTATCTGCCTTATAGAGAGTAAGATAAGGTTCCATGAACGATATTTGAAACCTTATGTCTACCCATCGATATCTCTGTCAACATAGAGATCATATTGAGTCATCCTGAGCTCTCTTCCCAACATACAGCGTGGGCAACAGAAAGAAAACACCCTTGACTGTCACAGAACTGGAAGGAATGAGTCATCGTTGAGACCATTTCAGCACTTCAGAGTGCAATAACGTTACAGGTTGTATGTACCTGCTTTCATAATATCCAGTCTTGACGCCGTCGTTTAGATGTCTTGAACATGTAACAGCTTCAACAAGAAATTCAAACACCTAATTCTGAATTCAAATATTCTCAAAAGTTAGAATAAATTTTAAACACGAGGTCGGTTCCTGGCATGGGTTGAAAGCAGTGTGAAAACGACGATAACAATCCGCCAGTTTGGCTGATCACCGATTTCTGCAGTCAAATTAAATACAGTAAGCTACAGTTATACCTCCTACGGATCACCAATCCTAGTTCGTTATAACCGTAGTACTTTATACGCATTTAAACTAAGATATACACCAAGTGAAACCGGTCTGTTGTAACCGTCAGTTTTCTATAAGAGATTTCTTTATTACTGTAATCCAATTTCTACGAATACAGTTAGGGTGTATATAGTTTGCACCAAGGAAGTCAGCTGAAAACAATACGATCACCGTAAAGTTTGTTCAAGAAGTAACTTGGAATCTATTGATGAGATTATTTTCAGATTTGGGTGCCCATCTTTTTTTCTAAAGGAGAAAGGCAGTGCAAACTTTGATCATGATATTTTGATGTTTGCAAGGACAGCAGTTTACAAATTTTAACATAGAAAAGTTTGTTCAACCAATAATTTGAAAAATATTGACCAAAATGTTTTCAAGTTTGCCAAAATCCGTTCATGTCTCAAAGAGAGATGCAGTGCAATGTTTTAGTTAGATTTTCCTCTTTTTCAGGCGTTGCGTCAATGTACATATTTTGAACTGTAACGAAATTAAGGATTTTTGGTTAAGGGAGTAACTTTAACACACTTGAATGGCTTGTTTTGGGGAAAACGCTCCATACCTATAGGAGATGTGCAGTGCAAAGTAACCAGTAACTTTACAATCATTTCATAGATTGTTTTCAGATTTCAACAGTCGCTTCTTTAAAGACGCAGGAATAAGTTTGACAAAGATATTTTATTTTTGTCAAGAATAACCATTCTTAATTGTTTGTTAAGCGGAAGTTGGGAGTCACAGTCTGGGCAAATAGTGAGCCTTGCGTACAGTTTTGGGCTTATCATAAAACCTTTATGAAAAAGACAAGATTCTTCTCTTCGGCTACATTATGACTGGTTTGTTTGGTTGTTGTTTAACGCAATAGGCCATCTATATGACTGTGGCCTGTAAATGATCCAGTCTGGACAAGACAATTCAATGATTAACATCATCATGTGTCATCCAAATTAGCGTGCCTGACCATTCGATCCCGTTAGTCGTCTCTTACAGCATGGGTTGCTGAAGACCAATTCTAACCCGGATCTTCACGGGTTCATTGTAAGTGGTGGAGGGGACTCGCTGCTCCTGTTGGCCTGCGGATTGCCGTCAGCTTACAGGCAATTAGGTTCAGCCCTCCGAACAAAGGCCGAGGCATCTTGAGAGTATGAAGTCAGCAATCGCAATGACATGTCCTTGTTGTCATACAGTAACGGCAGGAACGGAAATGACATTCATTATTAATTTCCCTCTTCTGAAGAATCATCCTCACGAGATCCTTGACAGGATATATGTTTGTTTTATTCACGCATTCTTCGCATACGCTGACAGCTACATTTCCGAACGGCTGATTAAGGTGTAAGATTTACGTCAACACAGCGGGGGTAGCACCATAGGGGCACGACAGCCATACGCAGTACGTACGCGGGTACCCGTGGAAGGGACAGGTGGATCTGACCATAAAAGTGTACACGTAACGCCTTTCAGGATCCTTGATTTGTCAGTACCACATTCTTGCCACGCGTTTCACCAAAATATGATATGATATGATATTTATTTATTCAGTATTTCAGCATCATAGCCTAGAATACAATTGTATTTGATAGAACACATGTAACGTGGTGAACAATACAGCAATATTTCTATTTCCTTCTACATCTCAATAGAAATACATTTTTAAGAAAAATGGCGAGTGCTCGTAAATTATCCTCATTATTTTGTATTTGATATATTACAAAAGAGTTTCACTGAATAGTGCTTAACATTAGATAGGCTTGGTAGATATTGTAATCTCAGGTCATGATACTGTTTAGATATAAACAGGACGTGGAACTCGTCCTCCAACGTTAAGATGACATTGCAAACAGAGTGATTTATATACATGTTCATTTTTGTTTCTACGTGGGTGATTAATATTAAAATCATGAAGAGATATTCTACATTTACATAAGGCTCTTAGCAAAGACCTATCCGAGAGACACAATAAATATTTTTTCAGGCTGTAACAAAGTCTTAATGCTATTATAATTACTTAAATAGTGCGAATATGATATTAAACTATGCCAATTTTGGCAATTAATGTCTTTCAACCGTTGTTTGAATATAGCTGTAAACAATATAGAATTACCCACACTTTGTGATAAGCAAACGTGGGTAAAACACGTGTAAAATAGCTAAGTTCTGAGATTTGACACCCAGTTTTGCTTTCCAGCATCATCTAATCTTTTTAACATTATATAGCATTGGTATGGATATCTAGAACAATTCATATGAAGTATTTTTATCCAGTATTTTATAACCCTTATCTGTGTTTCACAAAAATAAACGTTTCGTGAATATGAAACAGCAATAGAATCGATTACCTAAAAGACATAATCAGATAGAGTTTAGCCCACTGAGATACCATGCCGCAGTGAAGCATGAATGCCCCACTCAGACACATTATACTGACTCCGAGCCGACCAGTCCATGTTGTACCCATTAATGCCGAGCGCCAGGCAGGGACCAACAAGTACCATATTTTAACGTCTTTTGGTATGACGCGGCATTGAACCCGCGACCTTCCGCTCTCCGGGCGGACGCTCTAACCACTACACCACGGAAGCGATCATGAATGATAGGACTGATATAAAGCATAGGATTGTATATGAATGATAGGATTGTTATTGAAGGAGTATAGATATGAATGCTGGATTGTCATCGGAGAATTATGGGTATACCTGATAGGACTGTATATGAATAGTAGGATTGTATATGAATAGTAGGATTGTCATTGGGAGACTATGGGTATGAATAATGATGTTATTATTTGGGAGTATAGATATTAATGAAAGGCTTGTCATAAGGATAGTTGAAATTCTATGCAGCATGTAACATGTTATATTTGGGATTACACTTTCTCAGTAAAGTACAGATTCTTGTACTTTTATTGGTGTGAGTCCCAATGAAAGTACAAGAATCTGTACTTTACTAAGAAAGTGTAATTCCAAATAATACATATGTTACATTTGATTACTTTCTAAATGGCATTGTGTAATTATATGCACCTGGAACTGGAAACACAGCAAAGCCACATCCATTCAATGGAGCACTCAAGCCATCACAATGTTAGTTTTGTGTACACACAGACTTACACAGCCAAATCTCGATCACCAGAGAAATGAAACAGTACACACAGGTTCCTGTGTGTCCATCTTTAGGATGTGTACAGGTGAAATCTTTTCGTTCCGCGCATTCCACTACCAGCTGAGGGTTATGTTGGAAGAAGGAAGTCGCATAAAATCAATCGCATTAAGATCATTTGGAGATATATATGAAAATCGAAACAATATACAGATGTGCATTTACTTGCATCCATATACTATTTCTATTACAATCCATAATGAGGTAATTCAATTTAAAACATATTTAAAAGCTATCTTGGTACATTTAATAGAAAGCGAGCGACAACTAATAAAATCGACTTATTGAAGTTGTACAAATTATACATGACGCTGGCAAAACGTTTTATTCAAACTCATTAAGGGAGAATTCAATATTTGTGAGCCTCGATCAAAGTGATGGTATTGGTTTAACCCAAACATATTTTCTACAAGGCGTTGATGATTAATAGGTGCTATGTTGCTAATA